ATCGATTTATTGGTCATGATAAAAAATATAAATATTATTAGATAAAAATAGGCCATATAAAAGTCAAAAATCTAAAAAAATAATTAGCAATTGGACGGATAAGTAATGAGACATACAATAAAGTTTAAAATAATTGGAAAAAGTTACTTATGTATAACCGAGTGTATAACCATATTTAGAATCTAATTTAAGATATCTTAATTGATACAGCTTTAAACTTTCATACTTTGAGTATCTTATCAGTTTCCAAAGGCACATTATTTTACTTTCAAAGGCCGTTTCCACCAACTATTTAAGGGAAGCCTTAACGATAAGTATTTGTTAGAATTATTACATACATTATGTTTCTATTTTAATCCAGTAATATTTCTATAGTTATAGTTTAGGTAGCTAGTAGTTTAATACTGTGTGAACCATCTCATCATGGTTAGTGTAATTAGACCTCAAAGAATAGGTAGGTACTTGACAAATTGTAATTTTTGGTGGTACTATTGTTATCTAGTTCCGTCATTGTATAATTGTTATTGTTATTAAAAAGTTGTCAACGTACGGTCTGAATTTCTATTTCAATTTCACATTAAATAATCAAAAATCGAGTGTGGACTTCCATAAAAACTCACAGGTTACGGTCCCAGTGCTTTGGTATCTGTACTCGACATGAAAAGTAACGAAATCTCAAAAATGGCTGACTCATCCTCTAGTATATTGGGTTTTGAGAGATTAGCTGGAAGAGAAAATTTCAACAATTGGAAATTTGGAATGAGAATGGCCCTAATTCACGAAAATCTCTGGCGTTGTATAGATGGGTATCCTACAGGAGACACGGCCACAGCTGCAGAAAAATACAGGTTGGATCAAAAGGCTCTCGCAAAAATTTGTCTAATGGTAAAGCATGCAGCCTATCCGTACGTCAGGACAGCAAAAACGGCAAAAATGGCTTGGGATAATCTAGATGCTGCCTATGAAGATAAAGGGCTGTCTAGGAGGTTAAGTTTAATACGTCAATTGGTAAGAATTAAACTGGAAGATTTTCAGACAATGGAAGCTTATGTTAATCAGACTATGTCTTTTGCTCAGAAGTTGTCAGATATGGAACATCCAGTTGATGATGAATTCTTAGGCATTATTAAGCTCAGTGGGCTGACCTCAGAGTATGATCCCATGGTTATGGCCAATATCACAAGTGACTTTGTGAAAGCAAAGCTTCTTCAAGATGATAAGTATGGCAAAGAATTCAAAGAAACAGCATTGTTATCGAAGAAAAAGGTAACAAAGAAAGGCGTAAAGTGTTTCCAGTGTGGTCAAATTGGCCATTATAAATATCAATGTAAAAATAAGTTTTTAGAAGAAGAAAAGAAGAAGAAGAATAAAGAAAATAAAAATTATTCTTGATTGATTCAGGGGCAACCACACATATGAGTTACCAGAAAAAATATTTGGAAGATTTTGAATGTAGGAATCAATCACAGATTACAGTAGCTAATAACCTGAAAATGTCAAATTATGGAGTTGGGAAGGCACATGTATGTACGCTAAATGGTATAAAAACAATATCTGAGATTATATATATGTAACAGACTTGAGAGCAAATCTTCTGTCAGTGAGTAGAATGATAGAAAAGGGGCATGCTGTTGTTTTTGACACAATTTACGATGCTGATAATTTCAAAGTTCAGGGCGAAACTGTTGTCACGTACAGCAACCAATAAAAATGGTTTATATGAATTGGACATTGTACAGGATAAAACTTTCTTAAGTATCGCTAAATAAACACAGAATTTGTGGCATAAACGACTCGGCCATTTGAACAGAATAAGCATGAATTTATTGAAAAACAGCATGGCAACAGGCATTGAGTACTGTGATGAAAAAGCAGACGACTGTACTGTTTGTCTTTTAGGTAAGCAAACACGACAACCATTTAGTAAACTTGGAGGTAAACGGGCTACTGGAGCTAGTACATACAGATCTTTGTGGGCCCATGCCAGTAGCATCCTATAGTGGAGCAAAATACGTTTTTGTTTTAGTTGACGATTTCACCAGAAAGATTTTTGTCTATTTTCTTGAATCTAAAACAGAATTCTTTGAAAATTTTAAGAATTTCCAGATATTAGTAGAAAATCATACAGGTAAAACTATAAAAAAAATCAGAAGTGACAACGGTACGGAATATGTCAATGAAACATATATATGAAATCAAAAGGCATAATACATCAAGTTACTGTAAGATATACACCAGAGCAGAATGGAGTAGCCGAACGAACAAATCGGACCATAGTGGAAAAAGCGAGATGTATACTACAAGAAGCTAATCTTGAACAAAAAATGTGGGTAGAAGCTGTCAATACAGCTATTTATCTGAAGAATCGTTCTCCACACAAAGCTGTCAAAGGAGAAATGGTCAGGAGATAAAAAAAGTCTAGAACATCTTTGTGTTTTTGGATGTATTGCGCAAGCGCATGTTCCGAATCAATTAAGAAAAAAATTTGATCCAAAAAGCAAGGAGTACATTTTTGTTGGCTATGATGAAAACACAAAAGGTTATAGATTATTGGATATTCTAAAATATGATAGAATAATAAAGTCTCGAAATGTTGTGTTTGTTGAAAACAAATTCAAGCCAAGCATGAAAAATTACAAAGATTTTTTTTTGATGACCAGAAAAATGATGATGAGGAACAAAATCGTGACAGTGACAGTGATAGTTTGAATGAAGCAAGTGAAAATGCAGAAAGTCATAATGCTGAAGATGAAGAAAGTGAAAATGCAGAAAGTCAAAATGCTGAAAATGTCGAAAGTGGAGAGAATGAAATTCCAAGACGTTCACAGAGAATGAGGAGAGAAAAAGAGTTTCCAGATCATTGTATTTAGCATCAGAATACACTTCTGAGCCTTTATCAGTACATGAAGCTATGAATTGCCCGGAGTCTGACAAATGGAAAGAGGCTATAAACGAGGAATATAATTCTCTAATGGAAAACAAAGCATGGACTATTGTGAATAAAGAAGAAAATCAAAAGGTAGTGCAGTGCAAATGGGTTTTTAAATTAAAAAGTGATGTGAATGGAGAGAGTAGATATAAAGCTCGTCTTGTTGCACATGGTTTTACACAACAGTATGGAGTAGACTACAAGGACACATTTGCACTCTACCTTGAGATTGTTATTTGCATTATCTGTTAGTCTTCATTTAGACATAGAATATGTAGATGTTACAACTGCAGTTTTAAATAGTGAGTTAAATGAGAGAGTTATCATGACCCAGCCTGAAGGTTTTGTTGTAGATAAAAGTAAAGTTTGTCTACTAAATAAAGCCATTTATGGTCTAAAGCAAGCATCAAGAATGTGGAATAAAAAAGTTGATAAAACCCTAACAGTCTTGTGTTTACACTAAAAAATTTTTTAACACAATAGTCATAATTGCTCTTTACATGGATGATTTTCTTATATTTTCAAATAATAGTGTTGAAAGTGAAAAACTTAAATTAAGTATCATTATCTCAGAATTTCAAAATTAAAGTCCTTGGTCCAGTAAAGAAATGTTTAGGACTAAATATTGAATTAGATAAATCGAAAAATGAGTTAAGAATCAACCAAAAACATTACATTTCACAATTATTAGAAAAATTTGGTATGTCAGATGCAAAAAGAGCATTGACTCCTATTGAAGCTAGGTTAAAATTGGAAAAGAGTGGAAATTGTGATGACAATATTCCTTACAGACGCTTAATAGGGTCACTAATGTTTTTGGCTGTTAATTCTAGACCTGATATTGCATTTGCTGTCAGCTATTTAAGTCAATTCAATAATTGCTTTTCTAATATTCATTTTCAGCATGCAAAGAGAGTTTTGAGATATTTGAAAGGGTCTATTGATAAAAATTTAGTTTTTCAAAAACAAGATAGATTAGAAATTTCAGGCTACAGCGATGCAGATTGGGGAAACAACATAATTGATGGGAAATCATACACGGGTTATGTTTTCTGTTTATCAGCGGGTGCTATTTCATGGGAGGCGAAAAAACAGGGAACTGTCAGTCTTTCTAGCACTGAAGCTGAATATGTTTCGATGTTACAAGCTAGCAAGGAAGCTATTTTTCTGAGAGGTTTTTTAGAGGAGCTTATAGGTATTAAAGAGCCAATTTTGATTTTGAATGATAATCAGAGTGCTCAAAAACTTGTATCAATTCCTGTATTCCATAACAGAACAAAATATATAAATATAAAGTATCATTAGAGAAGCTATTGACAGAAAAGAGATAAAATTAAATTACATTCCGACTAATGAAATGATAGCAGATGTTTTCACTAAAGGACTTCCAGGGATAAAACATAAATATTTTGTAAGGCATTTGGGTTTAGAATAATGTTAGCTTTACAATTCTTTTGTTTGCTCAAATATGACTGGATTAAAGGGGGCTGTTAGAATTATTATATAAATATGTTTCTATTTTAATCCAGTAATATTTCTATAGTTATAGTTTAGGTAGCTAGTAGTTTAATACTGAGTGAACAATCTCATCATGGTTAGTGTAATTAGACCTTAAAGAATAGATAGGTACTTGACAAATTGTAATTTTTGGTGGTACTATTGTTGTCTAGTTCCGTCATTGTATAAAAGTTGTCAACGTACGGTCTGAATTTCTATTTCATTTTCACATTAAATAATCAAAAATCGAGTGTGGACTTCCATAAAAACTCACAGTATTCCCTAAACTGACAGTTTTCCATGGAGAAATGTCAATTTAGGGAATACTTATTGTTAAGGATTCCTTAAAATAGTTGGTGAAAACGGCCATAATAGTTATTTATGATATAAGTGCTAAAAGTGACATTTTATTTTGTGAAAAGGGAAGTTTGGGACACGACGCCGAAGGAACAAAATAAAATCACTTTTAGCACGAATATCATACACTATTTTTTCTACAAACGCACTAAAAGTGATTACTTTTAGCACTAGTGCTAAAAGTAATCACTTTTAGCACCAGTGTCATAAAATGGCATTTTAGACACTGACAGCGTCCGTTAAAAATGACACTTTTAGTGACGTTTGTAGAAAAATAATGTTTTAAACCAATTTGTGTGTAATTAATAAGATTCTCTGGAAAAACTGATTCAAACCAATGTCCTCCACAAAACAAAACAAAAAATAAAACTCATCAACCCTATAGACAATCCATTCAATCGTGCAGAATTGCATTCGTCCTCTGAACAATAACATTCCTCCCAGTAAATCCCGTTATCATAGACACCCCAGTTACACACCCCTGTAACTCCTGTATCTGCCACTGAGGCACATCTTCGTATCACTTGACGCCATCTACCGTCCCCTTAACAACAAAAATAGTCAATTCAATACTTAAAATTATTAATGTTTTACTCACAAATAAATCCTTTGGGGCTTTGCTGGGTGACTTTCATACAAAAAGAGCCAGGCATGTGGCTTTCTTCGCTGTTACATTCGATGGCTACATGGTTTTCTTTGGTGAATTTTTTGTAGGCCCCACAGTTGTCTTCATATTTGGGGTCTTCTGATGAGGCACATTGATAACAACGAACAGTAGAACCTTGAGATATACATTTTAATTAGTAAATGCTTGTTTTTGGGAGTGGTTAATTAGGAATAATTGAAACTTACCAAATTTGATAAAACTAGTAATGAATACTATAAGAGTAGAGAACAAAAAGTATTTTAATTCCATTTTTAACTGGAAAATAATAAAGGCTTATAAAATATAAACAATTTTTCAAAATATTTATTTCAGTTGTGTTTTGCTTTTTTTTGGAAACAAATACCTGAGAGATTTGAAAAGCGAGTGACACCAGTATATATGCATCCTTTTCTTTCGCATAAAGTCAAACAAAAAGAAACATATAAATTTCCTGCTTTTGGAATTTTGGCAACACTGAAGAAATTTACCATTTTCCCAACATAACCAAACTTTTTGATTATTATTATTATTTTTTTTTCAAATTCATCAAAGTGAAAGTACAGCCCTCAAAACTATGTCTAAATTAGACTCAATTCCGCCTCTATCGTCAGAACTGGCCGTCCAAATTCTAAACAAAACATTAGATTTCCTGGAACAACCTGACAACAAGCGAAAAATCGATGAAGCCAGAGAAAACGTAGGAAACGAAATGCTGAAAATGATGCAGTTCATTTTTCCGATAGTGATGCAGATTCAAATCGACGTAATCAAAGAATACGGTTTTCCAGAAAACAGAGAAGGTATTATTAAGTTTGCTCAGATGGTCAGGAATTTGGAAAAGGAAGATGTCGAAGTGGCAAGACTGCACAGTCTTATAAAGGCTTATTATTTGCCTCCTGTATCGGCTCATACAAATAGTGAGTCTGGTGAGGAAAGAACTAGCAGCAATTAATTTAAACATTATATCTATTTATTTAAAACTTCATAATATACATACACGTTTTAATATTTAAGTTGCTTACAAAAATAGTCAATATTTTAATATAGTTTCAACCTGAGCTGCTCCTTTGGCAGTTTTGATTTTTTGGTTACATTTAAATGGAATTGTATTTTGGATTTTCCTCCTACTTAACTAAGCATTATTTTTGTTTGTACTGTTTCTTGGTAGATTTGGATAAGGTTACTTACCTCAAGTAACTATAAACTAAAATGGGAATAAACTGAGCAAATAAAATGGCAAATTTGTTACTACTGTCTAGCACTCCTTTCAGTCTCAATCAAGCATTCTCTAACAAGAATCCTAGCTGAAACTATATTTCTTTTGAGCCTTTCTGCTGAGCTACGACTGCCTGCGTAAGTGGGACGCACTTCTTTGCCCATTTCTTCAATTACGTTGAGCAATTGAGCGTATTTGGACAAGCTTGTTTGAGGACTCTCCAATCCAACAGAGGCACCGTTGTTTGTACTATTTTGTGTAAGGGTATTGTGGTTTTGGATGGGCTTAGTGGGCATCGGTATAGGAGTTACTGTAACATCACTCAATTTTGATTCTACTGCTTGTATATCCACCGTGTCCATTATTTGCTAACTAAAAGTAATTTATTATATGATTTTATATTGTTATTTATATTTACCTTTAGGGAATTAAAAATAAAAGGAAAAATGATTTTCCCAAACCAAATGTCAAAACAACAACAATCAACACAGAGAAAAAGTGAGGTTAGGTTAAACTTGATATTTATGTTGAATGCGACCGAAATATAGAAGTTTGGCAACGCAGGATGTAGGCTTTACTACACCTTTTCCATAAATAGGTATTTCAGAATGTATCACTTGTATTTCAGATTAGGCCGGCATACACACACGTTATTTCGCGCGGTTTATCGTGGCATGTTAGGAGTGGTGGTTACCAGCGGGGGGGGAGGACAAGGGGGCATATGCACCCCCCAAGACCCTTAAATTTTATGAATATTTCTTCAAAATTAAGATAAACAGTTCCAAAAATAGCGTAAAGAAACCTGAAAAGGGGGCGTGGCAACTAAAAATTTCGTCGCTTTGTCTCCGGCAGCGGTTGCAGTATGGTCGCAAGAGACGCTTCCTGCAAATTTACCCCCTCCCAAGACAAAATCCTGGCTACGCCACTGGGCAGTTACCATGCGCGAAAGAACGGCGTGGCAAAAAAAGCGTCATGTTCCATACCCTTGACAAAGTAGTCAAATGATTTAGCATGTGATTTAGGGATGTCAATAACCGATGGTTAAAACCGAAAAACCGGTGTTTCCTCTTCGGTTAACCGGTTAAAACTGTAATAATGTTATTTTTAAGCAGTAAGTTAGTTATAGGTACGCCACTGTGTCTCTAGTAGCGGAGTCACAGCTGGATGTTAGAAGTTAGGTTAAGTTATTGTTATTATGATTAGTGGCAAATCGGACTTGAAAATAAACATACGTTAAACAATGTTGTGTTTAAATTAATTAAACAAATAGCCCTAACAATAATTATTACATGGCGCAGTCGTAGAAGAACTTATATACATAAATTTTGTGAGATCTGTTTTCGAAGGGAAAAAGTAAAAAGTACTAAAAAAATGGAAGGCCGACTACCTGAACCCATGAAGTTTGAGGGAAATTTGAGTGAAAATTTCAAAAGGTTTTATCAAAATTTTGAAATGTATTTAGTAGCCACCGAAAAAGATTCCAAGTCAGATAAAATAAAAATTGCCCTGTTTTTAAATATGATTGGACCAGAAGGAGTAGAAATATATAATATATTGAAGATTCCACAAAAAGACAACTTTGAAAGTGTTGTAGATGAATTCAAAAAGTATTGTGCCCCCAGAAAAAATAAAACTTATGAAAGATTCGTGTTCAATAGTAGAAATCAGGGAAACGATGAGCCATTCGATCATTTTTTTGGTGAAATTAAAAAACTCATACAAAGCTGTGAGTATGAATCACAAGAAGATAGCATTCTAATAGATAGAATAATATTGGGCACAAATGATCCGGCAGTACAAGAAAAACTACTCAATGTGCAAAAATTAACTTTGGAAAGAGCAGTAGAAACTTGCAGAAATGCCGAGGTAATGAAAAGACAGTTGCAATCTGTGCGTGGTAAAGAGGAAGCCCATGTAGACACATTGCGCAAAGGAAGAAATGTTAGAAACATTTCTGAGGAAAAAACTCAGGAAAAGGCCCGGGAAACCAGTAAGAAAAAGTTTAAATGTAGAAACTGTAATGAGCAACATGGGTATGCTGAATGTCCAGCCTTCGGTAAGAAGTGTTTCAAGTGTGGGAAAAATAACCACTTCAGTAGAGTATGTCAGTCGCCAGAAAGTCAAGAATGGCCAGTTAGGAGGGTAAAGGAAGTTATTCAAAAAACACAGGGAGGTGATGACAGTTCAGATGAAGATTTATATGTGCACAGCTTAAGCAGAATTGGAGAATTGGTTAGTGCAAATAAACTTGTTTGGACTGAGAAAATTAGTGTACATGGTTTGGACATTAATTTCAAAATAGACACAGGGTCGGAAGTGAACATTTTGCCTAAAAAACTTTTAGAAACATTGGGCAGCCGTAAATGCTATAATCTGGAAAAGTGTAACACGATTTTAGAAGCCTATGGTGGTGCAAAATTGAAGCCGGTGGGGAAAGTTAAATTGAAGTGTATAAGGTCAGGTAATAGTTTTATTTTAGAATTTTTAGTTGTAGATTTAGAGGCAAAGCCAATAATTGGTCTACCTACATGTTATTTGTTAGGTTTTATAAAAAAATCAGAGTCTTTATATGTGAGTAAATACTATGAGACTAGCAAAGAAAAAATAATTAGAGATAATATTGACATTTTTGAAGGTTTGGGAAGTTTTGCCGATGTTTGCAAGATTCACTTAAAGGAAAATAGTGAACCAGTTGCCAAGCCTGCTAGAAGAGTACCATTGATTATAAAAAATAAACTTGAACAAAAATTGGATAAATTAGAAAGTAAAAGTATTATTGCTAAAGTGAGTGAGGCAAGTGAATGGGTAAACAATTTAGTTATTGTTGAAAAGCCAAATGGATCCTTGCGCTTGTGTTTGGATCCACAGGACTTAAATAAATGTATTAAAAGAGAGTTTTTTGAGATTCCAAGTTTAGAGGAAATTAGTTCAAAATTGTCAGGTAAAAAATACTTTTCAGTTCTTGATTTTAAAGACGGATTTTATCAAGTTAGATTGGATAACTTTTCTAGCAGGTTGACAACGTTCGCAACCCCTTTTGGGTGTTACAGGTTTCTCCGGTTACCCTTTGGATTAAATCTAGCCCCTGAGTATTTTCAGAAAATAAATCTGAAAAATTTTGGTGACATAAAAGATATAATCATATATTTTGATGATTTGCTGATTGCTTGTGAAAGTATGGAAGAACATGATAGGGTATTAGAACAAGTTTTGTGTAGAGCTAGAGAAAAGGGTGTAAAGTTCAACAAACAAAAGTTTCAATTTAGAAAAACTGAGGTTAAGTATATGGGGCACATTTTTAATGAATCAGGTATGAAAATTGATGATGAGAAGATTCGAGCCATTAATGATCTGAACCCTCCTGCAAATAAAAAGGAGCTTCAAAGGCTTTTAGGGTTAATAAATTACGTAAGAAAATTTGTTCCTAAACTGGGTGAAATCTCTAGTTCGCTTTATCAATTACTTAAAAAGGATATAACTTTCCAATGGTTGGGTATTCATGACAAAGCACTTGACATAATTAAAAAGGAAATAGCAAAAAATGTGACGTTAAAAAATTTTGATTGTAGTAAAGACATAATAATTCAAACAGATGCATCGCAGAATGGTCTAGGTTGTTGTCTTATGCAGGAGGGTAGGCCTGTTGCTTATGCATCCAGGAGCCTGACAGATACTGAAAAAAGATATGCAGTAATTGAAAAAGAAATGTTGGGAATTGTTTATGCTTGCGAAAAATTTCACAATTTTATCTATGGACGCCCAGTCAAGGTAATAACAGATCATAAACCCAATGTAAGTATTTTAAATAAGCAAATTTCGTCTATAAATTCACCCCGATTACAAAGATTACGTTTGAAATTATTAAAATATGATATAATGATTCAGTATCTGCCAGGTAAATATTTGCATGTAGCTGATTGTTTGTCTAGAAATGTTAGCGGCGAAAAAGCAGAGAATGATGAGGATTTGAAAGATATGGTGCATGGTGTTGAGAAATACTTGAGAATGAGTGAAAGTCGTAAAGAGGAATTCAGAAAGGAGAGTATGAAAGATGATGTTTTGAGCAAAGTACAGGAGTATTGTATGAAAGGATGGAAGAAAAAGAAGTATGAGGGAGAGCTTCAAGTTTATTATAATCTAAGAGCTGATTTGCATAGTGCACATAATCTTTTGTTTTTCAATGACAGGGTTATTGTACCCAAGGCTTTACGTGGAAACATGCTGAAAATATTACACGAGGGCCATTTTGGCATAAATCGTACGACAGACAGGGCACGTAATGTTCTATTCTGGCCAGGTATGTGTACGGATATCCAGAAAGAAATTAAAGAATGTAGAGTGTGTGAGAAATACAGGTATGCAAATGTTAAAGAACCACTTTTGTCACATGAAATTCCGGAGCTACCTTTCCAAAAATTGGGATGTGATATTTTGGAGCATGGTGGCAAATCTTATTTAATTGTAGTAGATTACCTGACTAAATGGTTGGAAATAATATGTTTAAAGGGCAAGCAGTCTGTTGATGTTATAAATGCCCTTAAACAGATATTTGCAACTCATGGAGTTCCTGATACCGTTATTGCAGACAACATGCCATTTAATTCATATGATTGTAAGCGTTTTGCACAAGAATTCGATTTTAAGTTTCAAACTAGTAGCCCTAGATATCCACGGTCTAATGGCTTAGCGGAACGTTTTGTGCAGACTGCTAAAAATATCCTTCGTAAAGCTGATGATATTTGGGTTGCATTAATGGAGTACCGCAATACTCCTATAACTAGTTTGAAAAGATCACCTGCGGAACTGCTATTTTCTAGAAAGCTGAAAACTAAATTACCGATAGTAGAATGTCAAAACAGTGAAATTAAAGACTTTAAACAAGTTTTGAGAGACAGAAATGTTACTTACAAGGAATATTATGATAGGCATGTGAGAGATAGGTCGGATTTTAAGGAGAATGAAAATATTGTATACAGAGATGAAAATAAATGGCGTAGGGCAAAGGTAATAGGTAAGCATGAGTCTCCTCGTTCTTATGTTATTGATAATGGGACAAACATATTGCGTAGAAATAGTAACCATTTACGAAAGTCGTTTGTGAAGTTTAATAATAAAAAAAGAAGTGGTACTCAAAATGAAAACTTGAACGACATTGGTGATGGTGACTATGGTAATGAGCATCGTTCAAATGGTGAGCGTGTTGACCTTAGTGATAATGTGACTGATAATATGCCTGGTAATTTGCCAAGCCAACCTCAAAGTGATCAGAGTATGAGGTCAACACGAATCATCAGAAAACCAAATAAGTTTTCAGATTACGTTATGTATTAGTAATTAGTATTAATCATTTAGTTATATTTAAGCCATTTCTTCTTTAGCGAAAAGGGGAAGGTGTAATAATGTTATTTTTAAGCAGTAAGTTAGTTATAGGTACGCCACTGTGTCTCTAGTAGCGGAGTCACAGCTGGATGTTAGAAGTTAGGTTAAGTTATTGTTATTATGATTAGTGGCAAATCGGACTTGAAAATAAACATACGTTAAACAATGTTGTGTTTAAATTAATTAAACAAATAGCCCTAACAATAATTATTACAAAAACCAGTTGTTTTTTGCTTCCAGTTATAACCGGGATTTATACCTAATAACCGGTGAAAGTGAAATAAGTAGACTTTTCTCTCGTTTTATTAAATAAATTGTAAAATATTGAATAAACGACAACAGTCGAATATTTCATCAGTCTTCAACTAATAGTAGTGCCCATCTCTAGTATTTCATCCCAATTTCGGTTATTTCGTTCAGCAGATGGTTGTTTTCCCATCTTTCCCTAATGAACGGAATTGAAAAAGACATATACATGTAGGTTGAGGCCACTGTAGGTTGAGGTACGGTACATGTCAACGGCTACATGTTTAAAATGACAGAAGAGTAATAATAATATCAGGGTGGGGATTCTCATCCTCTAGTCGCAACCTATCGTCCCGACTCACTCGTAGAAAGGCAATGGGATAGTCGGGACGATAGGTTGCGAGTAGAGGATGAGAATCCTCCACCAGTTTAAAAAAGTGTAGGTATTTCTTCGGCCATGTTCGTTTTTGTCATCTTTTTTGTCGATTTGCTCCGAAATTTTGATAGGCACGTGACAGTTTCAATTTACAAATCACGTGCCTGTTAAAATTTCGGAGCAAATTTAACGAAAAAGATGACAAAAACAAACACGGCTTTTGATGCTTTTTCTTCACATATAACAGTTCCCGATTTTTTTTTTCAATAAAGATGTTGTTCAACAATGATTCTGATGAAATTCGGGTAAATAACTGATCAACCAGTTAATCGAAATAACCGGTGTTTTATATCAGTTATAACCGGGCAGTTAAAACTGTTACTAAATTAACCGGTTAATGGCAAAACCGGTGTTTTAAAAAAACTTGACATCCCTAATGTGATTACGCGGGGCATATCAGTTTTCCTGTGGTGATAGTTTGCGACGTTGGGTTCATGTTTTAGTACTAGCCTCAAAACCGTGACGTAGAATGGCGTGTGGACACGGGTGTGAACTGCGCTATCAAGTACTTGAGTACTGACGTCACATTCCAGATGAAAGCACTATGAAATCCCTTCCCATTCTACCATTGTGCGCAGCCCTCCTCACCCACGCACATTGGCGCCCGGTGGAGGGGTGGGGGCAGGGGCGGGCATCTGCCCCCCCCCTGGCTTTTAATATAAATACTTAAAGGAAAAGTAATTTGTGCATCGCACCTATCAAAAGATACAGAGAATTAACTTTTTTTCCCGTCCGAAATAAAAGTATTTCCAAATTGTTTGATTTTTTAATGTTTATTATATTAATTACAATTAGCAAAATTTGGGTGTTTAAGTTTAATTTCAGAAAGTGTTTTTTCTACTGACGTTTCATAATAGCAACTTTTCGATTGTTAAAATGATATTCTTTTAAGCTCTGAGTGCGTAAAAGTTACTTTTAAGGGTGTGAAATGACCACATTAATGACATAACAACATGCGGGTACTATCAACGCTGAAAAAAGTTTCAATTTGACATCTGATTTGACAGCAAAATCCCCATTAACAAAATGATCCTCCATTTATTGAATAATTCATTTATTACAAAAAAATTGATAAATGAAGAACCGCTCGACCGATTTTGTGCAAACTTCACATAAACCATCTAATAAATAGTCCGAACAGAGCCTAAACATTTGGTTTGGCTAGGTGAACCTGTTCTTGAGTTATAAAATTACAACGAAAAGTGGCATTCATTTTTATATACAGAGGGTTAGTAAAAAGTACTGCAACACTTAAATATCTTCAAAACTGCTTAAGCTGCGTTCACACAATTCGGAATCTGACAGTTTTCAGGCATGCGGAATTCAACAGTGCTATTTTCAATGTTGCCAGATTTTCCAGTTTTGCGCTACACGTAGTCTTTTTGTTATCTTAAATAGAATGCCCCATTTATTATTATCGCAATGAATTGGGCGTGCCAAATTTGATAAGATTCCAAACTTTCAGAATTCTATCTCTACTAGTTGCTAAAATATGACAACACCGTATTTTCAGTGAAAAGTATAGCAACGCTCGAATATCTTCAAACGCCGCTCAAGCACGTTCACGAAATTTGGTATCTGGGGGTTTTTAGGCTAGCAAAATTCAACCGAGATATCGGCATTGTTGCCAGACTTTTCAGTTTTGCGCCACACGTAGCCTTTTTGTTATCTTGAATAGAATGCCCCATTTATTTTTATTGCAATATATTGGACGTGCCAAAATTAATAAGATTCCAAATTTTCAGTATTCTATCTCTACTAGTTGCTGAAATATGCCAACACCGCATTTTCAGTGCACGGTATCGCAACGCTTGAATATCTTTAAAACCCGCTTGAGCTCGTCCACTAAATTCGATACCTATCTGAGAATTTATAGGCAAGCAAAATTCAACTGTGATATCGGCATTGTTGCCAAGCTTTCCAGTTTCGCGCTACACGTAGTCTTTTTGTTATCTTGAATGAATTTATTTTTATTGCAATGAATTAGTTCAAATTTTGATGAGATTCCAAATTTCCAATATGCTGCTTGTACTGTTAAATACTGCTTTAGTGATAATCATTCTGGAATAGTTACCTACCTATTTCAGGAGGAGCCGCAAACCTATCGAAAACTCCCGTAAATATGAATACCTCATGAACAAGTAACTCGTATTATTGAAGGAAACAAAAAAACATAAGCCACGAGCAAGACTATGTGTAGCTCGAAACTGGGAAACTTGGCAACAATGCCGATATCCCAGTTGAATTTAGGCTTGTCCATAAATCCCCAGATACCGAATTTAGTGGACGAGCCTAAGCGGATTTTTAAAGATATTCAAGCGTTGCGATACCGTTCACTGAAAATGCGGTGTTGGCATATTTCAGCAACTAGTGGAGATAGAATTCTGAAAATTTGGAATCTTATCAAATTTGACACGTCCAATTTATTGCTATGAAATTAAATGGGGCATTCTATTCGCGGTAGTGAAAAGACTACTTGTAGGGCAAAACTGGGAAATCTGACAACAATGCCGATATCACGGTTAAATTTCACTTGCTCAAAACCCCTCAGATGCCAAATTTCGTGAACGTGCTTTTAAAGATATTCAAGCGTTGCGATACTTTTCACCGAAAATACGGTGTTGTCATATTTCAACAACTAGTAGAGATAGAATTCTGAAAAATTTGAAGTCTTATCAAATTTGGCACGCCCAATTCATTGCAATAAAAATAAATGGGGCATTCTATTTAAGATAACAAAAAGACTACGTGTAGCGCAAAACCGGGAAATCTGGCAACATTGCCAATAGCACTGTTGAATTCCGCATGCCTGAAAACTGTCAGATTTCAAATTGTGTGAACGCGGCTTAAGCAGTTTTGAAGATATTTAAGTGTTGCAGTACTTTTTACTAACCCTGTATATAGATTATCTGAAATACAACTGATGATTTCTGAACTACATCTGACAAATTCTAAAATATAATTCACGTTTTCTGAAATACAATCAACAAATCTAAAATACAATTGATGTTTGCCGAAATAAAATTAACTTATTTGAAATACGTTTGACGCTTTCTGAGCAATTGATGCTTTCTGAAATTAAACTGAAGGTCTCTAAAATACATATGGGGAAAGTGTAGTTACTTTGTTTGAATAATATTTAAATAAATAATACAAAATAGTTGTGATTTTATGCTTTTATTTCTTATTATGAATGTAAGTGAAAATAGCTATTATCATGATACAATAAATTCCATTATACCATTGTTAAAACCATCATCTTATTATACAAAATCCTGGCTCTAAAAATAATACTATATACAATTTAATAGTAATAATAATAATAATAATTGTGTAAAAAATAATAAATTGCATACCACTTTTCATAAATATTTCAATTATTTTATATACACTACAATAGAAATTATATAATAATAAAGTAATAATTACAAATAATATATTTTAAAAAAATCAAAATATTTTTACACAATATAACGAAACATAATCATAAGCAACAATTAATATAAATCTTATATAATAAATATTTTTTTTTCCAATCAAATTAATAAAATACTGAAAATAATTATGGTTTGTGAAACAATAATCAAATTATATAAAACATCAAGAGTGATTATTAATTGGGGGTTGTTTGATATTGTTCCATCCCCTAGTATTTATTATTTAAATTCGTTGTTTAAAACATTCTTTTGACCCCACAATAAACTCATCAGTCTCAATTGCGACGGATGTATTATTCATTTTATATTGGTTTGTCTAACTATGAGCCAAAGGAAAATATTCATTGACCAATTTATATTTCTTGTTCAAACAATTTGAGCACTAGAATTAAAAAAGCAAACTTATTTTTCAAAATTATGTGTGAATGTAAGCCAAGTTCATCAAGTTGAAAATATAAATTGGCCAACACATGACAATCAAAGGTGTATAAAAGTTTTTAATAAATGACGGCCATCCCAAAAAAAAACTATCTACATTATTAATTTTGCACCATTTTAATTTTTTTGTAAAAATTAGTCCGTTTTTGTTTTATTGCTCCAGCTGAAATTGGAAAAAATAATTAATTTTGTTGCAATAACACTTACTTATGTACAGGGTGTTTCAAATTGGAACCAAATCTTTCACAGGGTTAGTTTAATGGCAGCAAATATCCAATTAAGTTTCCCAAAATTTTGTAGAGGGCGCGAGTGAACTTGGAGTGCTTTGAATTTTGGCGGTAAATGTCAATAATTATAAACCGTTTTAATAAGTACAAGGAAAAAAGACTACATGTCAGCTTGTCTTGAAACCACACATCAAACTTAACTTTTGAGGTTTAAGTTACATTCAATTATTCACGCGCCAAAATTTAAAGAGGTCCAAGTACAGAAGCTCCCTCTTCAACTCAACTGTCAATATTACATGCCATTAGAGCAAAGTTGCCTCAGTTGATGCTTAACAAAATACCGCACTCATATTTAATATATTCCCAATAGTACCAGAAGTATCTGGAAAAAACCTAAATTTCGGAAAATTGTTTTTTTTTTCCTGACTTTATTCAAACTGGAATTTCGAAGAAAAAAAATCCCTTTATTATAACCAGTTTACCTCCTCTATAAAATGTCATAATCAAATTTTTCTATTTTGGTGTCATATCGAAGTCTTTTCGACACAAGTAGTTTCGAAAAGAAGCTCTTTGTAACACTCCTTGTTTACTTATCGGAAGTTGGTGACACTGGCGCGATTTTATATGGCGATTTCCATTTATCAATCAGTGCACACTGAGTGTATCCGCGTCTTTTTCTAAAAGCATGTAAAATATAAGGATAGAGATATATTTTTTTTGCACTTATTCTACAAATGGAAATTGCTGTCAAACCTAAATAAAAATGTCCGCCAAGAGGCACACAAACCCTTTGTTTGCTTTTCAGAGTCACGTGTTTTGGATAGTCTAATAGGGGATACATTTCAAAATTAATTAAGCTTATACAGGGTGTTTCACCGAAATTGGAGCTTCGTTGGACTCTCTCTTCAGTCCTAAATATTTGTTGCCCTCAAATGCAACGTTGCCAAGTTATTAATATTTTAGAGAAATTTTTACCGAAATCAATATACCACTTAAATTTTAATATCTGCACCACCATTTTTTATTTTTTTGTAAAAATGTATGGAAGTACTTCGCTGGGATCATTTTATGTCGCAATAGTCTATGATTTGGGTTTTTTGATACAGGGTGGTCAAAATCGTTATTCAAATATTGATATTTAAGATTGTGCTTTATGCTAATTTTTTACATAGGACACCCTATATCTATTGACGTTTTCCGTTGAAGTGTTTATTTATCTTTAATTTGACACCAATATGTGTACCTTTAACCTAAACCGTTTTCTCAAAAATTGATATTAAACTAAGAATTGCTCATTTTTCTATTACGACTCTTACGCGAACACAAATCAATTATGGATGATTTTTTTACGGAATAGGTACCTTTAAACCTACTATGCACAGTTCCAGTGGCGCAGCCAAAAATTTCGTCTAGGGAGGCCTATGCAGCAAAAATTATAAGAAAAAATACAGATCCACTTTCCTTTAAACTTTTTCTCTGATATGAGTAGTTTTCAGCTTTCGTCTACTTCATTATTTCTCTAGTTTTCTCTGAAGCCTTGGGTGGGCCCAGGCCCCCAAGCCCCCCTGGCTGCGTCACTGCACAGTTCATTTCCACGTTTGACTCAGCATCTTCCCGACTTTATAAGCAATCAGATGTGGCTACAGTTGGATGGTGCACCAGCTCACTTCAGTGCAAACATCAGGGAATATATTACACGCCAATTTGGTAATAGGTGGATTGGAAAGGAAGGTTTGTTATAATGAAAAAATTACCCTTGTATGAGGTAAATTTTATACTGGTCTTTAGGTCCCACTGGATGGCCTCCAAGGTCACCGGATTTAACGCAACTGGATTTCTTTTTGTGGAGAACTGTTAAATCCGAAGTCTATCGTTTTACGCCCACAATAAGGGAAGATATGGTAGAGCGTATTCAAGAGTCCGTTTGCAGATTTTTATAATAATTATTAATGCTTATTTCATTATTAATGTTATCATTATTATTATTGGGTATATTAATTAATTAATAAGAGAAAAAGTTTGAAAGAAAGTGGATCTGTGTTTTTTCTTATAATTTTTTCTGCATGGCCGCCTCCCCTCCAGACAAAATTACTGGCTGCGCCACTGGAACTGTGCATAGTAGGTTCATAGGTACTTACTCCGTAAAAAAATCCATGATTGATTTGTGTTCGCGTAAGAGTCGTAATGGAAAAATCAGCAATTCTTAGTTTTATATCAATTTTTGAGAAAACGGTTGGAGAAAAAGTTACACATATTGGTATCAAATTAAAGATAAATAAACACTTTAATGGAAAACGTCACTAGATATGGGGTGTTCCATTTAAAAAAATAGCGTAAAGCACAATGGTAAATATGAATATTTAAATAACGATTTTGACCACCCTGTATCAAAAAACCCAAATCTTAGACTACTGCGAGATAAAATGATCCCAGCTAAGTACTCTCATACATTTTTACAAAAAAATAAAAAATGGTGGTGTAGATATTAAAATATAAGTGGTATACTGATTTCGGTAAAAATTTCTCTCAAATATTAATAACTTGGCAACGTCCCAATTGAGGGCAACAAATATTTGGGACTGAAAAGAGAGTCCAATGAGGCTCCAATTTCGGTGAAAAAATATAGGACATTCCATATGAAAAAAAAAAATCTAATTATGTGCCATGCTTTTTTGGGACACCCTGTATAAGCTTAACTAATTTTGAAATGTAGCCCCTATAACCTCATTAACATCCCACCTATTAATTTTTTTATCCGCTCAACGACGTAGCCGCAATCGAATACCGGAGTATTAAATGGACACCCTGTATATTTGGCATGTAGTATTACCAACTTAAACATATGAAATCAGGAAATATGAGAATAAAATTTCAAAGAAAAATTTGTTTTTTTTTAATTAAACAATGCCAAAATAGTATAAAATATCCGTTTCATAAGACATTTTATCGCACGAGCCCTATATTAGAAAACGAGCCGGAGGCGAGTTTTCTAAAGGGCGATAAAATGACGTCTTATGAAACTTGTATTTCAATGTACTATTATAATTTAACATTTCGTTTCATGGCACTTGGCTTGGATTTTTGAAAACTCAAAATCATATCTCTAATGGCCATTTGCACGGCTATCACTTAAGGGATATTCAATTTCAGTGGAGCTTTGAATGTTGCTTTTGCTTCTACGAAAGTCACATTCAAAGCTCCACTTGAATTAAATATCCCTTAAGTTATAGCGGTGCAAATGGCCGTAATTGTATTATACTTAGATAAAATTCCCTCATCAAACTATTTCAGAGGCCTTATTCTTGACTTTCTCTCTAGAGAAAATTTGACTGTGTTGACAATTAAACAGTGCATTACCTGTCAACAATGTCAAATTTTCTACCTAGGTAAAGTCAAGAATAATGCCACAGGATGGATTTTTGAAAGTTTTCTCTCAATCAACTTATAAATTTAATATACCATACTTTAAAGCTTTTTTTCACTCCTCTCCAAATTCCAAATTAATACTTGAAATAGTTCATGAGAAAAAATAATTATTTATGCAACAAGTGTGTAAAGTGAACCTTTTTTCACAAATGTGAAGTTTGACGCACGAGCCGAAGGCAAGTGCGATAATCACATGAGTGAAAAAAGGTGCTTTACACACGTATTGTAAACAAAATTTTTTCTACTACCAATAAAATATGTGTAAACAAATAAATTTGGATAAATACATTACTAGTGCGTGAAGTATTTTCACTTTACACACTATTGCGTGAAGTAATTCACTAGAAGAATACCAAATTGACAGTTGTCGACATCTGTCATTGCCATTACTTTATGCACTAGTGTGTGAAGTGAATTACTTTACACACTAATGCGTGAAGTGAAATTTTACGTCTTCTAAACAGTGTGTAAAGTGAGTACTTTACGCACAGTAGTAGAAAATAGTTATTTATGCAACAAGTGTGTAAAGTGAACTTTTTTTTCACGAATGTGAAACATGAGTGAAAAAAGGTGCTTTACGCACGTATTGCATACAAAATGTTTTCTACTACCAATCAAATATGTGTGAAAACATAAATTTTGATAAATTCATTACGTATTAGTGCGTAAAGTATTTTCCAGATTTACCAGAAAAATAGTAATTTGACAGTGTCCACATCTGTCATTGACATTATTTTACGCACTAGTGTGTGAAGTGAATTACTTTACACACTAGTGCGTGAAGAGATACTTTACGTCTTCTGAATAGTGCGTAAAGTGAGTACTTCACGTACGGTAGTAGAAAATAGTTATTTATGCAACAAGTGTGTAAAGTGAACCTTTTTTCACGACAATCACATGAGTGAAAAAAGGAGCTTTACGCACGTATTGCATACAAAATTTTTTCTACTACCAATTATATATGTTCAAAAAATAGATTTAGACAAATACTTCACGCACTAGTGCGTGAAGTATTTTCACTTTACGCACTAGTGTGTGAAGTAATTTACCAAAAAAATAATAAATTGACAGTTGTCAACATCTGTCATTGACATTACTTTACGCACTAGTGTGTGAAGTGAGTTACTTTACACACTAGTGCGTGAAGTGGAATTTCACATCTTCGGAATAGTGCGTAAAGTGGGTACTTTACGCACGGTAGTAGAAAATAGCTATTTATACAATAAGTTACGAAATGAGCGTCTTTTAGGCACGCGACGTGAAAATTGTCCAACGAGGCAAAGCCGAGTTGGACAACACGTCGAGTGACTAAAAGACATCGTTTCGTAACGTATTGTATACAAGATTTTTTCTACTGGCATTTTATAATAAAAAAACACAATTTTATTTCATGTGAATAAGTCGATTACACCCAAAATCTTTGTTACCTGCTTTTACTTGACACCTGACACTTTTCATGCGATTTTCTTTTCAAAATTCGACATCAATAATTAAAATCCTAGAAAGTAGGTAATAACACAAACTTCTGTTTTGAGTAACCCAAACGTTCAATTCAGTAATTCCATTTTCAATATTCATAATAAATACAAAACAAAATTCAAATATGTGTTTAGTGTGTTTTTTATTTCTGAATAATGAATGACACTTTTAGGCACTAGTGCTTAAAAATTACTTTTACGCACTCATAAGTCACTTTTACGCATTCAAAAGTCACTTTTACGCACTGAGTGCCTAAAAGTAACTTTCACGCACTCAGTGCCTAAAAAAATGTCGTTTCAAAACTGAAATGACAATCGAAAAGTTGCTATTATGAAACGTCAGTAGAAAATAGTTATTTTCCTAACAAGTGCGCAAAGTGTTACTTTTCCGCACGCAAACACAGTTATACGAACGACGCGAAGCGGAGTTCGGATACGTGTTTGCGTGCGGAAAAGACACTTTGCGCACGTGTTAGGAACAAAATTTTTCCTACGAGCTTCATATCACGTAGGTAATAACAAAAATTAAAAAAAACGATAATTTGTTTAATTATTTTTAATTAACTTGAAGGGAACCTATGCATTTATCCAAAAATTACATAACAAAAAAAAATAAATAACAGAAAATCCTCGTCAGAGCTGTTCATCTTAAAGCATCTAAATTTGATGAGAAAGTTTGTAGATTTTTGCATATAAATATATAGAGAACAAATCTGACAATGTGTCAAAGTTAATTTATATTTGATGTTTGTATAGATGTTGGCTGATATAGAAACAGGAAAAATTTGTCATCATGTGTCAAAGTCGACAGGTGCACTTATTGTTGCTTGATAATTATAATTACTTTTCGGCACTCAGTGCGGATAAGGCCTGTATCCGCACTGAGTGCGGAAAAGTGTAACTTTGAGCCCGGAAATGCGTGCGGAAAAGTACTACTTTGCGCACGCTCGTAGGAAAAATAATTTACATCCATGTGTCTAAATTTTTGAAAAATTCCCTTGCTCATCAAACTATTCAGGGTGTATTTTTTAAAGCTTTCATTCAATCAACTTGAAAATTCACTAAAACATGCTTCAAATCTTTGTTTCACTCCTCACTAAATTGCAAATTAATACTTGAAACAGTTCATCGGTAACAAAATCATTTACATCTTTGTGTCTAAATTTTTGAAAAATTCTCAATGATGTGACTCGAAATTTAAACACCCTGTATTGTCCTAAGCTAGGTCCTTATCAAGTTTTGACATAAATATTCAAATTAACTTGAGACACAGCTTAAGACAATTAAGTTGATTAAAACAAATTTACTCACTTTCAACGTTAAGACAAGAATGGATTGGCAGGCTCAGTTGTTTTCATCCAGGGCGCGTTTCCATTCAAATTACTGGGCGCTGGTGCCCAAGGATCCTGCGCAGGCGCACTAGAGAAACTCGAGGCCGTACTGGCGCCAAACACCGGTGCAACAGCGCCAAATCCTACAGGCTGTTGAGCCTGAGGCCCAAACTGCGCATACGATTGCTGTTTGATTTCGTTGATCGACGGTTTTGGAGGTTGCGTATTGAAAACTGGACGAGGTTGAGGCACTGCTGGATCGGAAAAGGGGTTGGCGATCAATGTCGGATTGTTAGGCTTATCTGCAATTGAATCTGAGTTACTGTTGAAGAATGATCAGAATTGGTTTTTCTTACTTGTAGTAGTTGTAACTAAGTTATCTAAATTGACTAAGGCAGAGTTTTCTCCTAGGAAACTTTGTGGTGTCTTTTTTGAAGCTCCCAATCCCAACGTTGGACTGGGTCCAGAATTAGGCAAAGTTTCACCTAAAAGGTTCAGCTCGAATGGGTCGTTTGTCGTCGAATTGCCATTGGTTTTGGGCGATATAGGTCTGTTTCTATTTGTTATAATATCAAATTCATCTAAATCTGTTGATGATCCTGGACTAGTGGGCGACCAAGGATCTTTCCTTACAGGCGACAGACTAGCAGGAGCTGCTGCAGCTGTTGCTCCTGGTAATCCCCAGGGATCTGGTTTCGATTGAAGGGGTTGAGGAGCTGATGCGGAAGGCTGCCAAGGATCAGCTAAAGCTGGTGCTGGTTGATGCGGCGCAGGAGATGAAACAGCTGAAGCTTGCCATGGCGATGATTGCTAAGAGAACACATTTTTTTCAAATTCATTGTTTTAGCTGCTTCGTTAATAACAAATTCATCAAACAAAATTTTAAATTCTCAAGGTCTTTATCTTCATGAAAAATTAATCAAATTGTTCAGAAAATTTAATTTTTAGTAAAGCAACAATATTACAAAACTGTTAGCTTTTTCACATCAAATAAGCCAACACAGCTTTACTATAATACATACCAAACCAAAAATGTTCAAATCCACAAACTATAAACAATAAATTCATGAATTATTAAATAAATATAGACAAAAAAATTACCTGTGGCCGAGGTGGTTGTGGCATACCCCAAGGATCAACAGGAGTAGGATCCCCACCCAAATTGACATCCAACAAATCAACCAAATGACTTTGAGCCCCTTCTGGTTTCCTTTAAACGCAAACAATCAACAATAAATTATTATACAAACAAAACCAGCTTACTTGAAATCTTGTTGACTTTGGCTCAATGCCAATTGCAATCTAACATCGTCCGATTTTCGTTTTTGTTCTTCTTGTTCAGCTTCCTCTCTTGACATAGCAAGTGCCAATTGGAGCTGTAGCTCTTCTTCTCCTGCAGTTTGAGGCCTGGCCACTTCAATATCTCTTGGTAATTCGGCTGCGTCTCTAACAACTGTATTCCAATCGCCTCTAAATGCAGGATACCTAGGACTGGTTGGGGTATCCAAACCTCCATCGCTACCAAATCCGCTGGTGCTTTGAGCGAACCGTTCTTTTGCTTTTAGAGCTCTGGCGCGTTCGTTTTTCAGTCTTTCGTCGTCTTTTAACAAGTTTACTAGTTGCTTAGCCTTTTCTCTGACATTTTGTCCTTGATCTTTGCCTTCTTCCAAATGCTGAAAGTCTTTTAGGGTTTGTATTGCGTAAATGTTTTCTTTGCATTGTTGACCGACTTTTTCTGAACCAGTTTTAATAAGGTATTCTAATAGAACCAAGGCCTTGTACACATGCCGCCAGTTTTTACCATGATCGTTTAATCGTTTCCAAACCTGAAGTTTTAGCAATTAAAATCGAATTAAATGGTAATGAATAGTTACCATTTGCATTATTTCACTAAAAGCCACCACATTATAAGTTAGATCAGCAATTTCGGCCATAATAGTACTGCTGGGACCCCAATGGTCGTTCGAGGTGGCTTCTCGTACTTTTTTTTGCGCATCTGAATAGTTGTGAGCGAAATTTTTGAGGTTTCTACGAATACCCGCAACATTAACTTGCATATCGTGCGAATTGCGACGCATCTAAAAAAAGATTTTCTCAATACAAAAATGTACATGATTTAAATTGAAAATGAGTCAAAAATATCTGCTAAAAATTTAGTAAATATCCTAATTGAAAATGAAAAATAGATTGATTGTTGTTCACTTACAGAAACATGGTTAAGTGCCATGACTGACTCCATGATAATTCAAGATACTTTTTGCTCAGTTAAAAAATTACTAATGAATGTTTTGAACATTCAAACTTACTTATACTTGAACAAAAACGTAAACAAAACAAGTCTGTGTCCTTGGATGTGCTTTTGTGTATCTATCTTTATCATTTTTTATTTTACCAGATTATCTCCGATTGTCTGCGTTATGGACCAAATTTGTACAGTTTGCTGAACCCCATTTATGTGCTTTTTATCAAAGGCGAAATAAGATAACATATCAGCAGTATATCAGTTGGCTTGTGAAAAAAAAAATTGCTGGAAATGGAGCCTAAATGAAATTTAGATGAGAATGTTGGGTAGATTGGATTGAAATTTTGCAAAGACAGAGAGAAAAGATTAAAATCTACGAGAAAAATATGAAAAAAGCTGTATAAAAGATTCGTAAATGATTCAATCGGCCTCAATTTGAACTTAATCGAATTGACATTAGAAAAATTGTAAAGCAGAATGCGTATCAATGTAAGTTTGGAAAATATCAAATTAACAGAAAACACTGAACGTTTGAGAAGTATATATATGCGTTTTCAGGTTGCTAGATTGTACTAATGTGGTACTAATCTACTCTTTTACAGGTAGATAGGTATTGTATTAATCCACTCGTTTTCAGGTAAATTATGGCTGAAAATTAATGTAAAAACCTATTTACTTGAAACGAATAGATCGCTGTGGAACTCGCACTAAAAAACTACTCGTTTCTAGGCAATAGAACTTACCTTAAAACAAGGGGATTTCTACAATGCCAAGCTATGTGGATTGAGTTATAAAAAAATTGAAATTTCATCGTTTTAGTAAGAAGAACCTTATTTATTGATTGATTTAGATTTTGGAAAACTTTGAAAGGTCATAACTTTTTTTCTATTCAACGATTATAGATAGAAAGCTGAAATTTTCAGCGATTCTCATCCCAGTAGAGGACTACAATTTCTGAGAATTTCAGCTCATTTGGACTTATAGTTTCTTAAATAAAATCAAACACAATTTGGGGTGATTTATTAATTTTTCTAAGTGCCTTTTCTCGTAGATTTCGGCTTCAAATCTGAGAATAATTTACTGTATGGAGTTGAGGGGGTACAAAAGGACTATTAGGACACAAAGTCTCAACAAAAAAAAAAATTGAAATTTCATCATTTTAATAAAAAGGTAGCTACTTTATGATTTAGATTTTGGAAAACTTTGAAAGGTCATAACTTTTTTTCTATTCAACGATTATAGATAGAAAGCTGAAATTTTCAGCGATTCTCATCCCAGTAGAGGACTACAATTTCTGAGAATTTCAACTCATTTGGACATATAGTTCCTGAGATAAAATCGTGTTAAGCAATTTGGATACAGATAGAAAGCTGAAATTTAAAAAAATTGGAATGTGAGAAGAGAAAATCTTCTTGCTCGCTCTCTTTGATTTTTTTGACTTTGGAGCATTGCAGCAGCCAAGGGGTAAACTGCTCTCCCCCCGGAATTTGTGTAAACAATTCTTCAAAGGGGAATTTTTTACACAAAATTCGTCACAAACTCCTCCAAATATCTCAATCCTTCCAATTCCAAAAGGCGTTTCCTTGACAGTTAATCAAAATTACCACATACATATAATTACATAAATTATAAAAAATAACATAGGGTGATTCTACAATGACGCAAAAGTTCTCCATTATGTCAACTGGTGAAGCTATTGTTACTTTAACAAAGTTTTTCACTATTGTTCTGGGGTTTTCTGAAGGTTCATTGCGCCATTTTGGAATCACCCCGTATACATAATATTATTTATTTAGGTTGCTAAAACTTGAACCCTTGACTGCCTTGACTCATAATTTTTTTAAATTTGGTTCTGTAAATCATGAAGTGGAACCTCGAGTGGAACTTTAGGAGAATTTCTTCAATAAATATGAATGTCCAACACAAAATTACTAGTCTTATTTTCTTTTTAAATTTGCTTTAATAAAAATGTAAATTTCAGTGATGTCATGTTGCAATTACCCTTCAATTTCCTTTAAATTCCTCCAAATTTTCGACAAATTCCCCAAAATTCTCATAATATCCTCCTAATTTCCATGAGTGCCTGTAAATTCCCCATAGATTCAGAGCTAAACTCCCCAAATTTTTGACAAAGAATTCCTAGGAAGGGTGGTTAACTTTCGGGTTAACTCCTTAAAATATATACCTAGACAGATTTCAATTCTTCATTGATGTCATAGGATTTTTAGAATTTTGAAAATCTTCACATGATTTTACAGGATTTCAAAAGATTTTAGATTTATAATTTTTTGGGGTTGATTTTTGGGGATTCCAAAGGATTTTTGGAAATTTTAAAGGAATATTGATGATTTTATAAGATTTTGGCAAATTCTTTTTGTTCTAATAAAATCTTATCGGTTTTGCAGAATTTTATGTGATTTCAAGTGATTTTAAGGGATTTTATGAGATTTTAAGTAGATTTTACGAGTTTTTCTGGGATTTTGACTAAATTTGTACACAGATTTTGACCAATAAACCGCTCTGAGGTTTAGTTAACTCCATAAAATGTAGGTACACCGAGGGATGTTTTACTCATGCAGTACTTAGGAGTACAAATATCATACATTCATTTATATATGCAGTCCGCAGTCCATTCATTCTTCTGCAGTCCATACATTTTCATGCAGTCAATGGAATACATGGACTCAGGCAGTCATAATACAGTCACATGCAGTCATAATACAGTCGCTTGCAATCGTTATAAACTCTGTGCAGTCTGAGGTGCAGTCACATGCAGTAGCGTACATTCCCTATACACTCGCGAAAAATCGTAAGCAATCGCTGCGAGTGGAGCCTCTGCAATTGTTGAAAAGTCAATGCAGTCAACTATCATCTTTGATACAATCAATGTAGTCAAATACAGTAGGTTCACAAAATTTAGTGGGTGAAACACCCCTGGAGTTACACATATTTGAAATCTTTATTGATTTTGTAGGATTTTGAGGATTTTGAAAATTAAATTTTCACACAATTTTACAAGAGTTCAGAAGATTTTAGATTTTTGAGATTTTAGGTGATTTTGAAGCATTTTAGGGGGTTTTGAAAAGTTTTCAGGGATTCTAAAGGAATCTTAAGAGATTTAAACAGATTTTTGGGGATTCCAAAGGATTTTTGAGAATTTTAAAGGAAATATTTCTTAGAAATGTTGATGATTTCATAGGATTTTGCAGGATTTTTTCAGTTTCAATAAAATTTTGTGAGATTTTGTAGGATTTTATTTTATTGAAAATTGTTAGGGATTTTGATTTTAAGTAAATCTTATGAGATTTTCTGGGATTTTGACCAGTTAACTGCCCCCAAAATTTCAAGGTGGTTTGCCCCTTGTCAGCAGCTGTGAAATTATTGAAACTGCATTGAAATTGTTAATTTTCCTTTTTTTTATTTCAAGCTCTTAAATTTTCTTTTTTTTTTTTAAATTAGACACAGATAAAATTCAAGAGCCTGGAATAAACAAAAAAAAAAAACAAATACTTATGTACTTAAAGAAAAAAATTAGGAGAGCTAAAATTGGGGGAAAAAAAAAAACAGAAAAAAGGTGAAGAGAAATACAAAATACATTGTATATTGGTAAATAGAATCATAAATAAAGTAAATGGGAAAATTCCTCCAGAATGTCATTGAAGATTTATGTGGTTTCTATGAATATGAAAGACCTACACTCGGACCTACATATAAATCAAAGAACAAATATAAACTAATAATTATGCCATTTAAGTAGTAGCTACAAAACCAAGTACAAAATTAAACAATAAATTACCTTACTAATATAAATAATTCAACAATAATAATTATTCTCGAAGTATTCATCCAATTTCAGCTAAACAATCTATATATATAAAACACAGTTGTGTTTGGTGGAAACACTTATAACTCGAGAACGGCTGGACCGATCTCCTTGAAATTTAATCCACGTAGTCTCTATCTGAAGGGAAGTGACATAGGCTACTTTTTATCCCGGAAAAAAAATATTTTTAATTAACTTAATAATGTTGAAATTACAATTTAATTGTACAGCTTATAAACAAACTCATTCACATACATGACCCAACTTTTTTTGTTGAGAACATGAAACAACGTTGCCACATTTATTTGAGCTTACGCATTCACCCGACGCGACGTAACTGTATTATTTTTTAGAACACAAGTGGACCTATCTCCTTGGAATTTATACCACTTAGTCACTATATAAAGGGAGTAAGTATAGGCTACATTTTTTCTCGGAAAACAAAATTAATTTTTAATTAATTATAAACAAACTTATTCACATACATGACCCAACTTTTTTTGACAATATGAAACAACGTTGCCCCATTTATTTAAGTTTGCGCATTCAACCGACGTAACTGTATTATTTTTTTATTAAAAAATTTAAAAATTCAAATTTTCGCATTCAACTTCAACTTATTATCTATCTATCGGTCGAGGGGTTTTGGCATCGTCAAAAAGTGGCTTGACTCATTCAAATTGTCGCTCAATTTATCCAAAACTAATTACATAGCCTTTTCTGTGACAGGCGCAAATAGAACTAATTTTATTGAAATTCAGACAAGCAAAAGGAGAAGAACAGTCATATATTAGCAGTGAAGAAAGCTAAATATTTAGGTATAGTTGTTGATCAGCATTTGAAATGGGTAAACCATATATCTTACTTAACAAAAAAATGTCGCTTCTTGATTCATAAATTTTATATTCTAAGAGAATTTCTCGGTACTAGAATGATCATATTGGTGTACAAATCTCTGGTAGAATCATTGTTGCGATATGGCCTTATTGTGTGGGGGGGAACATATAAAAGTAACTTGCAACCTCTAAATGTAATACAAAATTCCATCTTAAAAATAATGTTCAGAAAAGAAAGGCGCTACTCAACTAAATCACTATATGACAACAACATTTGCAACATAAACTGCTTATACATACACTCGTTTTGTACAGCGTATTTGATTATATTTGGCACCATACCTACAGCCTTTACTATTTAAGATAGAAAAAAATTTTAAATACAAAATTTGACAGTTTTTTTCTATATTTTCTGATAACGTTATCAGAAAAAACAAATTCGCATCGGAGAAACGAAAGCAACTTCGACTTTTTTTAATGGAACACCCTGTATAATATGCGATAAAATGAAAGATCTATTCTTTCTGATTCCAAATATATATATATATTTATAACATTTGCGTGACCATATTTTGACATCTCAAGTTAAATTGTAAGGAATTTGCAGAGAAGTTCCATAAGGATCTCTATCTTTATAAAATTTCTTTGTAATTTAGTTATAATTTAAGCTAAGATATGCCAAAGATGGCTGACGCAAATGTGGTCAACATATATATATATATTTGTAATCAGGAAGAAAAGGTCTTTCATTTTATCGCAAAATATACAGGGTGTTCCATTTAAAAAAGTCGAAGTTATCTACGTTTCTCCATTTTCCGATGCGATTCTGTTCTTTCTGATAACGTTATCAGAAAATATAGAAAAAAACTGTCAAGTTTTGTATTTACAATTTTCTGCTATCTTAAATAGTAAAGGCTGTAGGTATGGTGCCAAATATAATCAAATACCCTGTGGCCCAATTCTTGAAAAATTACGCATGCGAAATTTGATGTGATTTCGAATACTTTCTATCTAATTTACATTGCTGTCATTCGAATTCGAATCAAATTTCGTATGCGAGAATATTCAAGAATTGACCCCCTGTACATATATACATAGAAAAGAAACCCTAAAAAAATTCGTACACCATCATCATCAAACCAGAGCTAATGTTAATAGACACCTAATAATACCTCAAAATAGAAAAACAATAAATTTAAAATTTGCTAATTACGTAGCGCCAAAATTTTATAATATGATACCAAAGAAAATCAAAGAAATAGGTAGGATAAAAATGTTTAGTGAGAAGAGCAAAGTATTTATTGTAGATAATTATGAATCATTTTCTAAACTTATGTCATAGGATAAAAAAAAATAGGATTAAGTTGCCATAAACAAATAATATTGTACTTTAACAAACCCATACAAAATATAATGTCCTCTAAGATAAACCTTTATTGTAAGAACAGGTTGTGTTTATTACTATATTATAAATAGTTAAGAAAATACTTGGTGCATACAGAGGTATTAAACCTCTAGGTGCCAACAAAATAATTTTTAAATATAAAATACATGTATTGTGAAAGAAAAAAAAATTTATTGTAAAAAATATTTAAACCTGAATAAAGATCTATCTGTCGGGTTGGTTGCAGAACCTATAACTCGAGAACTGCTAGGCCGATTTTTATGATTTTTGTTATATTGGATTTGTCTGGCCCGAATTACATAACAACTATTGGAACATTGGAACATATAAAAAAAACACAAGAAAAAGAAAAACATATTTATGAAGAAAATTCACCAAATATGCATGTCTTATAAGCGATACCAAGTTTGCCGCGTCAGATTGCGCGGTTTGTTCCATTTTGATTTTTGAACATTTATTGAACCACATAATTTATTGTTAGTAATCATTTTATCTTATTAAAAAACTGAATTTAATTAAGCTAATGCGTTAACTTAACATTTATTGATTCTGAGGCGTTAGGCGAAGTTCGCCGGGTCCGCTAGTAATAATTATTTTACACTCAGGTAAATCAGCCAATAAAACAACCTAATTTTTATTGAGTTTCTAAAATAATTCAAAGAAGAGACATGTGACCGAAAAATTCAACAAGCATCAAAATTCTTTAAATTTCTCTTCAAAAAACCCAAAGCAGTATAGTATAAGTTTATGTGATAATTTAATATTTTTCTACTTTCTCCAAAATAATCTCATTGCCAACACACAATAATAGGTACTTCATGTTTGAATAGTGCTTTATGCTCATTTTAATCCTAGTTTTATTTCATATACCGTCTTGTACATGTTGTAAGATAACATTTCCTATTTTATCGCTGTGTAATAATGTAAATTTAAACAATGTGTAATTGTAATTATTATCAATTCAATCAAAAGGAATAATGATTATGTAATAATAGTTTCTTTGATAAATAATTTAAAATTCAAGGATGATTAAGGTATATGAAATTTTTATGAGTAGGAATGAAGTCTATTGAAGGCTGAGGCATAATAAAATTCTACTTGTTTCTCAAGCATAAACAAATAATATTAAAATAAACAAACACTTACTTTGAAGCTGCTTGTTGTCGTTGTGTGTTGTTAAAGCCCAAAACTCAGCTGCAAAACAAAAACATTAGACACTGTTATAATGTAAAATCAAATCATGCATAGATAGTGTATAAGGTTTCCTTTGGAATAATTTACGTAAATCTTTAAATCAATAACTACTCAGGGCTGATGTACTGACTGATAATGTTTTATCTACTTTATTTTTTTGGCTAGAACAAAGGATGCTTATGTTTAATTTTAAATAGTGTGTGAAGCCTTTGAAATGTTAACTTGTTGTAGGTATTGGAATCTAGGAAATTAGACCTTGAAATTCATAGATATTTATTTATTTATGTAGGTTAAGGAAACAATTAGTTATAAATTTGCAATTAGTAGTCAAAGCACAATAAATTTGCTTTCTACAAAAATTCACAAGTAGGTAATAAATTTTTAGCCCACTTGAGCCATAAACAAATAGAAATTCACTTACCAATTTTGTTAAGCAAAAGCCTTGATTCCTAGTGCGTTTTAAAACCAAAATTGCTTGCAACAGGAGCCAATTGAAGGGGATTATTTATAACAATATTATGTGGTCCTCGATAAATTAAATTTTGCTATTCACTTGATGACACTACACTTTTATTTTCAATATACAAACACCAATCAACATGGCCGCATATCCTCATACAAATTGCTTTTTAAAAAGAGGCTTGTAAAATTACGAAATTTGTTTATTATTGTTAACAACAATTTATGGATAAATTCACGTGATTTCGGGCTCTACTATTTACTTTTTGTAGCGTAGAAAACCGACACCCTTTTTTCTAGAAAATTGTTCATACAAAAACAGTTTTTTGACAGCCTACGTCAATTCTGACGTTTTTGTTGTTTTGCTTTTTAAACCCAGCCGGGATTGGTGGGGAAAATGAAGATAAATAAAGATGATATTAGCGAGTATATATGTCCTTGTCTTTCTGTAGCATTAAAGTGAGATGGAATACATCAGTACAACTTTTCAAATAAATTAATTTTTGAACTTGACATGTTAGCAGATGCGAATCGTTTTGTTGACAATGTTTATTTTGTCCTCGTCTTTCTATAGCGCTTAACTGAAATAAAAAATAATAGTACATTATATACCTAGGTAGAGAAGTTGGTCATTATATACCGAGCGTAAAGGATATATAGATTTTTTTTTACTGCTGCTAGTAGAAAATAAAAAATAAGTTTGAAACCTGTGTTCAAATTATTTTCTTTTGTCGGAAGTGCTGCCCTCTATCACCAGCTTACGGTAATTTCCTATAATGTACATACAGAAACCTACTTTTTTTAAAATTGTCAATTTGACACTGAAATTAAACCAATATAAACCTGTTACGTTATGACCAATGAACTATAGCTAAAACTGGAATGCGCACACATTGCCATATCTGCCAAAAAAATGTAGCCATGAAAGACAGATGCCACAAAGGGGAATGTTGTTTTTTTCTGTTGCTCGCTGTCATATGACGTTTTCGAAAGTTTTTTCTGTTGCTCGCTGTCATATGACGTTTTCGAAAGTTTTGTCATATTTCCCTTCACAGGTTTCATCAATTGGAATACGTGTTGGAAGCAATTTTCGCCATTAAACATAATGAGTGCGACAAAAACAGGTATCCCCTCCGCAGCAGCCGCACTAGGCTTCACGTTCGTCCTTATGTGTTAGCATTCCAGTTTTTGGTTATAGTTCATTGGTTATGACAATATTATCCTTGCGTCATGACGTCATTTTTATTATTGACCTAGGCAATGAACTATAGCCAAAAACTGGAATACGCACACATTGCCATATCTGCCGCAAAAATGAAGCCATGAAAGACAGATGCCATAAAGGGGAATGTTGTTTTTTTCTGTTGCTCGCTGACATATGACGTTTTGGAAAGTTTTGTCATATTTACCTTCACAGGTTCCATCAATTGGAATACGTGTTGGAAGCAATTTCCGCCATTTAACATAATGAGTGCGACAAAAACAGGTATCCCCTCCGCAGCAGCGGCACTAGGCTTCACGTTCGTAAATATGTGTTCGCATTCCAGTTTTTGGTTATAGTTCATTGGACCTAGGTATTTTTTCATTATTAACCTAGGGAGAGAAATTCAATTTTTTCTCAGAAAAATTGATGGAATAATAGGTCTGTTTCTGCAGAAATCACAAACCAGTCAGAGTGAATTTCATTGGTTGAAACCAGTGGCGGCTCGTCAGAGGAGGCAGGGGAGGCTAAACCTCCCCCAAAAAATTGAAAATTCCAATTTCAGTTTTTTCCTAATTAAAATAATAATTCACAAATTACACTTTCCAAATTTCGATATTTCAATGTAATTTAGAAAAGTCTGACAACATTATTTCAATCAATCCCGCGCTTCCACGACAAAAATTTGTGAATCTGGGATACTCAGTAATACGAGCCCGAATAGAACTCCGGCCCTTCGGGCCGGAGTTATAAGCGAGTCCGAAGGGCCGGAGTTATAGCGAGCCCGAAGGGCTAAAGTTATTTTAATCTCGGAGTCCAGTCTATAATTCTATTGGTCAGCGGATAATTTGGAGCCAATCAAAAATCGGGAATATTCAAAATGTGATTTTTAGTCGATATTCCGAGTTTCAGTTCGGAGCCGGAGTTCCATTCGGGCTCGTATTACTGAGTATCCCAGATTCACAGATTTTTGTCGTGGAGGCGCGGGATTGATTGAAATAATGTTGTCAGATTTTTCTAAATTACATTGAAATATCGAAATTTGGAAAGTGTAATTTGTGAATTATTATTTTAATAGACCTGTCTCGCATAAATAGAGAAAGAGAGCCTAATTATAATAAATACAAGTTAGAAAGTAATAAAAGATGACATGCGCGCGCAACTCGTAGGTTCAGTGTAGCCAGATTGTATTATTGCAGAACAAATAAAGACAATACAAATCGAACATTATAACATTAAAGAAGTGATATAGTGTCAAGTATTTTACAACGCCTTGAATCAGACAAAAGAAGCGCTTGAAAAGTTTATGTTAACATCGTTTACACTTTTATTTTGATAAATGTTTCATCCGGCAACATCGCACAATGAAATTGCAAAGGAATATGTCAAGTATAATCTAACATAACCTCAAACGACACTGCGGTGAGTTCAAGTAATATGTAAAGTATTTGTTTGCTCTTTGTCGAATTAAACATTACAAAGAAAGAAGGAACGATTCACTCTGAACTGGCCCCTGGATAAGAATATGACGCAAACCTGTACCAAACTTGCTTCTCATTGGACGCTCACCTGCAGCCTACAAGCGACGCGCGCAGGCCAGGTGATAGGAGATCAGTCTATCAGGAAAAAACTGAAATTGGAATTTTCAATTTTTTGGGGGAGGCTTAGCCTCCCCTGCCTCCTCTGACGAGCCGCCACTGCTCTGATGTGTCATCAAGTTACCCTTTACCAGGTAGCCTATTACTTTAGGAACCTTGTGTCTGGAATAGAAAGAGAAACGATATAGAAATTCAATGGGTTGAAGACTGACGGAGAAAAACGGATAATATAAATAGAGTTTGATCATAGTCGGCGCCTTAGTGGACTTTTAAGTGGATTTTGTCCTACCATAGTCTATTTTTTTGAAAGCTGGTATAATCAATCATACTCAACCAATTCTAATCCCCTTAAATCCTTTGAAGAGTGAATGAACCACCTGCAATAAACGATGAAGTGACAGTTTGATTATACCAGCTTTCAAAAAAATAGACTATAAGAGCCTGGAGAAATAGAGTAACAAACAGCAATATATGAAATTAAATAAGTAAGACAGAGATGGAGATAAACATATTTTGTTTATTTCTGGTGATCCAGTGGCCTTGTAGTTTTTGTGTTTGAAATAAAAAGAGAAAGATACTCGAAAGATATACTCAGTAAGAGAAAAATGAAGATAACATAGGAATGAAATATATATAAATATATTTTTTTTCTAACGGTCTTGTAATTTTTGTGTCTAAACAATGAGAACCTGAAATAAGTGATAAAGAGAAAGGATATGGAAATTCAATAAGTTAGAAAGAAATAGACTTAAATTGAATCAGATTGATTTAATCTGGTCAATCGAATACAGCTCAGGCATTCCAACGAGCTGTCAAAACCATTCAAATATGGCGTCAGTGGGCGGAAGTTCATTATCCGGTATGAGAGTATACAGACTTTGAAGCATTTGTGTAGTTGTTTTGTGACTCAACTTAATTTGTTTTTCATATTAATAATCTAAGTGTTTTTTCAATTTAAAATGCCATGTAGATGTTTTGTTGTTGATTATGTTTGCCCACAGACGCCATATTGGATCAGCAGATTTATATGTTTTCTCTTGCTTGAATTTATATAAACAAAAAATTGAACAGGAAAAATTAAGAAATAAAGAAAAGAAATTCAGAAAAAATTGGTACACAAAAACCGAATTTTTTGGACGAATGTAGTTCATTAATAGTTCGTCTTATGATGTCATGAGTTTGGGTTAGAAACTGCGTTCATGTTTCCGGCGAAAACGTTCAATATGACGTCATAAGTTTCTCGCGAAAGCGTTTGTGTTCATGAAAACATGGAAAGGGTTCGGTTAAAGTTTATTCAAAATTACACACTGCCATCACTAGTAAAAAAATTGTTGCTGTTTTATAGGTCTATCTCTCCCTTCTTCATATAATATTTATTGTAAGGCTTGGCCGATTTTTGAGTAAAAGCCGGCAACAGTGTATAAGTTTAACTTACAAACCGGTTGGCAACACTGATTTGAATATAAATTTGCCACCATGTTGTTTTTCAAAACGAGTGTCTTTCCAAGGGGATTTTGTTTGAAAAATATCTCGTACGTCTATGGATGGTAAAACTCCACCCATTTAGACGCCTTTTATGGGTCCCAAATGGACGAGGTAAATTGCGAATAAGCAAGGGGTGAAGTCACACAATCCATAGGCGTACCTTTTTTGGTTAAACATTGGGGGAATAGACAAAATTTGAGTTGGAAAAACTGAGAATTAACTAAAAAAATTAAGAGATAAGAGGACCAGAATCGCCACTCAGTACCTATCTCTCATTGGTTGTCAGCCATTTGTAGGCTGTCGGCCATTTTGTATTACATTACAACCAATGAACGGTCCGGAGAAAAAGTCTAATCAAGCTGTAGGAAAGAACCAGCCCTTATTGCCCTATGGAGGAGCTTAATGGAGGGATCTTTCCCTGATTGGCCAGAGAAAAGAAAAGGGGGGCTGGTCTGAAGCGACAAGAAGTCTACTTACATGTTTTTTCCCTTCCATGCATTTAAATTTCCTTCACTGACAAATTTAAGAGCTGGGAATAAACAAAAAATGACATTTGATCCAAATTTCAGACATTTGACATAAATATTATTAGTACACTGTTGTCACGTCGTACCTAATTTCTAAACCTTTTTTTTTTTTCAGTGGCTACCTTACCGTAATTTGTAATTCATAATTTTTTAGCCTCCTCACTTGAAATAGTCACGAGCCGCTACTGGTTGAAACTAGTTTTCTGACTGTTTCTGACTGTTTTCAACCAATGAAATTTGCTCTTACTGGTTTGTGATTTTTGCAGAAACAGACCTAAGGTCTGTTCCCACAGGAGTCTCTGACAGTTTGCAAACTGTCAGTAAGCATCACCCATACATGTTTTCAATGCTGTCGACTCGAGATAAATCTGTAACTCAGCTGAGCGATTGTTTCTGATAGGTTGCAAACTGTCAGAGACTCCTGTGGGAACAGACCTCTAATGACTACTTCTCAGGTTAGTAGTGAAAAAATTACTTTACGCACTGGTGCGTGACATTTTATGTCTTCTAAAAGGTGCGTAACGTAAGTACTTTACGCGCGGTAGTGGAAAAAACAATTATTGCGCCTTCACTTACAGTCGAGAATGATACTTATACAGGGTGGTCCATTTAAATTGAGACATTTCAATATCTCGAAAATGGCGCATATTTGAAAAACAAAAGTTCAATAATGTCTTAAGTTCAATGGCCCACCCTGTATCTGTACCATCGTATGTGCGTGCTATGAACGTTTCACAGCTTTGCCGCCAAAATATAGAGCGTCGGTCAGCTTGTCAAGGTACCTACTTAGCTATACTTAGTTATTAACGTTATAAGGTCGGTAAATAGCAAATAACGGCCAGGCTGAGGTTTATGTTAGCTCAAGACTGTTATTTGAAGTTACCGGCCGTGTTTTGTTCTAGATTTTTCGTCACACTGCAGATTTTAAGAATTTTATTTCCTACTGAACTATTATAATTATATAATACCTTGGTTACGATAATCGTAAACAGGGTCTTAACTCCCAAGGGATGTTAAGGATTTCATAACTCCCGCGCGGGAGTTAAGGATATCATAACTCCCAAGGGAGTTAAGGATTTCCATAAATCCCGCATTTACCTTGAATAGGTGAAACTTTGACAAAAAATAGAAATTTTGGTTTATGGTTTATTTCTTTATAAAAATGGTCAAAATACAGTAAATTCAGTAAGAAATAAAATTATCTATGTACTAAGGGAATTATGAGGTGTTAATACCCACGGGCAATTGGGCAAACTTTGCCCTGGGGTATTAACACCCTCATAATTCCCTTGATACATAAATAACTATTTCAATCTGACAAAAAATAACACACCCCTATAATGTTTGAAAATAATGACCGGCGGCGTTATTTATATTTTCACGGCCGGCGGTCTTTGAATATACCTTTTCAATTTCCCTCATGCTAAAGTGGGATAACAGTACAGTATGACGAACTAGTATTTTACATTAGCCAGTTAAAAACTGTTATTTTCATACCGTAATTTATTATATAAATAATTTTCAGCTTTGCTGAAATTATCCGATTTTTTCCGACATTCATGCATGTTTTCATGCGCAGCTGACAAGTTTTGCCCCCCACCACAGGAAGCTGATACATTTCTGTTTTCATGGAATCATCATAAAAATAAAATGTCAAATTTCTAGCTTTGCTAAAAAGACCCGATTTTTTATTTTTTTTTACAAGTTTCGGGGTCTCTTACTACCCTTTCGCCACGGGGGTGAGCCAGCTGACAGTAGGGTTACTTAAGTATTTATTAAGTAAAAACTACCTTACAGAATGAAAAAAAATTATGCTGATACCCATGAAATTTTGACGCCAGCCCCCTGGCTATAAGTCTGAATAAGTTGAAATTTTCGGGGATTGTTCTCCTCCATTGGGACAAGAATCGCTGAAAATTTCAGCTTTCTATCTGTAAAAGAAAGAAAATTATGATTTTTAAAGTTTTCAGAAATATAAATCATAAGGTAGCTGCCTCAGTACTAAAACGATGAAATTTCAATGTTTTTTTTCTGTTGAGATTTTGTGTCCTAATAGTTTTTTGGGATCCTCCAAACTCCATACACTAAATTATTCTAGGAATTGGAGCCGGATTCTATGAAAAAAGGCACTCAGGAAAATTGAAAAATTGATAAATCACTCAAATTGCTTAACGCGATTTTATTTCAGAAACGAACTTTCAAAGTTTCCAGAAATCTAAATCGTACCAAAATGATAAAATTTCAATTTTTTTTATGTTGAGATTTTGTGTCTAAATGATCAATGGGGACACTCCATACACTAAATTATTCTGAGATTTAAAGCCGAAATCTATGAAAAAAGACACTCAGAAAAATTGTTATCACCTCAAATTGCTTAACGCGATTTTATTTCAGAAATTATATAAATCCAAATGAGCTGAAATTCTCAGGGATTGTAGTCCTCTACTAAGATGAGAATTACTAAAAATTTCAGCTTTCTATCTCCGATAGAAAAAAAATTATGATCTTTCAGTTTTCAAAAATCTAAATCATAAAGTATAGTTAGCTACCTTCTTACTAAAACGATAAAATTTCAAATTTTTTTTGTCGAGATTTTGTACCCTAATAACACAGTAACATCGCAGAAACATTCCAGAAACATCCATCAGGGATAATGAAGACGTCCCTGGGAGGTCCCTATTTTCCTGGGGACATCCCTGGGATGTTGCAGGCAACAGCCGTGTCATCATTTGCGATGTCCTATAAACATCTCTCAGGGATGTTTCTAAGATGACGCGGGATGTACCTAATACATCCGGGGCAGGTGTAAGAAACATCCTCTATATGTTTCTAGTATGACTTTAATACGTGAAAGAATTTTAGGATTATGGATTAAAAATTACCTAATTCAATAATTTTCAATTTTCGTTCTATTTTCTGGAAGTCAGATAGAACTTTTTCCAAAAAAAAAACAAAAATTGAAAATTATAAAATTAAGTAGGCACATCAGTTTCCAATAACATTTTTTATTGAAAAAATAAGGTACATGCATACTTATATTGATTATCTATCAACTAATAATAACCGACGGACAATTTTGCCTAAATAATGTAGTATTTATGCCCCGTCATGTCATCGAAAACCATAGTTTGGCAGTGGCAGCATGTTGTAGTGGGGGAGTTCGGCGTTTTCTTTTTTTTTTTGGTGCTCCAATTTCATAAAGGTACCATTAACTAACCAAAACAACCACAGAACCAAAATCCAAAGTTCTTGAAGTACAATTCAACTTGCACACCTAGAATGTAATCAACCATGAAAACAAAAAATAATTATTGGTTATTTTCTCTTACCTAATGAAGAATGAAGTTCGGGTTTTTAGGGGCTATTTATTAGAAAAGTTAGAAATTTCCTAACCGACGCCATATTGAAATTAAATAAACTAAACAATTGATAGTTATGCGACGTTATCTTTCAACAAATAATCTTTCTCACCAACTAATAAGCACTGGTAGGTCGCAGAGATCCTTTCGAACACAAAATGGCACAACTAGGTGTAGCGAAAAACCACAAATTGACAAATCCTCCACACAGCACGACGCCATTACGAAATAAAATTCCGCCCAACAACACAAGCGAAGCGCACAGGACGACCCGTTCGACTGATTCTGCCCGTCTGCGCTGGCTGCGGCGCCGACCCTACGTGGTGGCGTGCCCTCCTGTCCTGACCGGTACAAGTACAAATGCCTGAGCACGCGCCTGCGCCATACACTTCGGCTTCACGAATATTCACGATGTTTGAAAGTTGAAAAGAGAGAAGACTTTTATCAATACATATTTTATTTTATTCCAAGTTGTAAGTCGAATGAAAAATTAAATTTTGCTGTTGTTACAATACAAAATTAATATTAAGTACCTTATCTATATACATTACAGGTATATTATGGAATTTGAAATTAGTTTGTGTGTGTGATAGAGACATTTTCAGAAATCACACAAAATTGGCAAATTTAATACTGGGTCCTGCCGGTCTGAGGTCCTACCTAGTTTTGTAAAATAATGTTAGCCATTTTTCAGCTGTAATAAGTATCTAATTTTGAGAACGAAAAATCTTTTTGTCGATAGATATTTTCGAAAGGATGTTTCTAAAACATTTCAGGACAATCATCCTAGAGATGTTACATTACAAACATCGCAGCGATGTACCATTTATGTCGGAAACATAAGGACCTTAATGGTACATAAATAGGATGTTTCTGGGAGATCGGTGTTATTAGGGTATCGTAATGGTCCTTTGGGATCCTCCAAACTCCATACACTAAATTATTCTCAGATTTGGACTCAGATTCTATGAAAAAATGCACTCAGAAAAATTGAAAAATTAATCAAAGTTTCTATCTAAATCATATAACACCATATTTCGCAGTCATAGAAAAAGTAAAGTGTGTATAACGCGTGTAAAAAGTGCTATTTTCCACACTTGTTGCACAATATACTAATTAGTTGTTTGGTAATTATGTTTTGACTTATAATAGGTTACGTTTTACAAATGACTATAACATATAATAGTATAACAATACCTACATACTTGAAGTACTTTATGGTATTACTACTTATACTTTAATAGTACCAGTACCTATACTTATAAACGTTTAATAGGTACATAAAATTATGTATATTATGTCTAAGTACTATAAGTACTTAGTTACACTTTTTTTTAATGTACCTACCTACCTACTTACCTATATACCTACTTAGGTACTAAAGTATTTTCATACTCATACTTTTCCGCATTTTGGTTGGTAAAGTACCATTTCTGAATAGTAAAGTAAAGTACCTTTTTTCAAATAATAATTGAAATACTTCAAATGCATATTTTTGGAAACTAGGTACTTTTCAAAGTAGATTCAATTATTCAGTAAAGTACATTTTTGAGTTGTAAGTAGAACTTGAAATAAAAAATAATAAATGGCCGAATTCAAGCACCAGTAAGTACAAAGGTACTTTTAAAAGTTTATAAAGTACTTAAGTAAATACTAAAGTATCAAATGTACTGAATATTTTACTTTAGTATATTTTTCTAATTAAATAGTAGCTTCTATCAAAAAAAGATCAAAAACATGTCAACAAGTCAACATAACCTCAAGCTTTTGCACTGACGAGTGCCTTCACTATTTTCCAAATTAAACAGCCTTAAAAATGCTAAAAATCTCAGAAGACCAAATCAGAATCATCGGCAACGTTCTGAACAACCCTTCAAGACCATTAAAAGAAAGATTCAGGGCTCTATTTACACTCAGAAACGTTGGAGGACCAGTGGCAATAGAATGTATTGAAAAATGCTTTACTGATGAATCAGCATTGCTTAAGCATGAATTGGCTTATTGCTTAGGGCAAATGCAAGATGTTACAGCCAATCCTATATTGGTAAAGGTTTTGGAAGATGTTGGTCAACATCCTATGGTCAGACATGAGGCTGGTAAGAAATCCTATTTGTATTGGTGTATTGTTTATGTTTGAATTTTTCTAGCTGAGGCCTTAGGTGCTATTGGTAGTCCCTATGTCTTAGAAACCCTAGAAAAATACACCAAAGACCCTAGTGTTGAAGTAGCTGAAACTTGCCAATTGGCTGTAGAAAGGTTGCATTGGCTTAAAAACCCTGAGACTAAGAATCTTTCTGAAAATCCTTATAATTCTGTAGATCCAGCTCCTCCAGCCACTTTGCAAAGTGTAGCAGAACTAAAAACAATTCTCATTAATGAAAATGAAACATTATTCAACAGATATAGGGCAATGTTTTCTTTGAGAAATCTCAGAAGCAAAGAAGCAGTAGAAGCTCTAGGGGAAGGCCTCAAACATGGTAGTGCCTTGTTCAAACATGAAGTGGCTTTTGTATTGGGCCAACTACAAGACGAACATAGTGTTAAATATCTTCAAGAGTCTTTGGAAGATGGTCAAGAAAATGAAATGGTCAGGCACGAGTGTGCAGAAGCTTTAGGAGCTATAGCTACAGAAGAATGTATGACTGTTTTGAATAAATACCTAACTGATGATAAAAGAGTGGTAAAGGAAAGTTGTGAAATTGCTTTGGATATGTGCGAATATGAAAATAGTCCAGAGTTTCAGTATGCAAATACACTTTTTGCCTCGTAAATTGATAAAGTATTATTTTAAAACTTATTTTTTAATAAATTGTTATAAATGTGATTTGCGTTTTAAAGATTTCCCGCCATGAACCAAATAATCGGATCACTAACTGAACCTAAGTATTTTGTCTTTTTTCAATCGTGTTTATTGAAGAGAGATGACAAACAAGCAGCTGGTAATCAGATGAAAAAGAAAAATTTGGCAACAGTGTATGTCATTTTCCTCTAGGCTCTAAACATAACCTCACTTATTTTTATTTATCCAGTTATCAGTTGTTGCTTGTGTTTTTTAAATTTATCCCAAAATAAATAGAAATAAAATGGAAAACGACTCAAAGACCATCGTAAGTGCTTACAAGTAAATCTATTTCTCACTCGTATTAAACTTGATAAATTTTTAGCTAATTCCTAATGAATTATGTAGAAGAGCCGGTATAGCAGCCTCCTGGCGCCCCATTAACGAAATCTCAATTTTCCCTTACGAAAAACGTTCCTACAAACAAAAGGACGGCCCTAGTAATTTTGCTTCCGACCAACCTTCCTCAATCTTCCATGTGAGACATGAAGTTATTTTATTCCATCCTATCTTAAGAAAACTGGTGAACGAGTCCAATGCTAACTTCCTAGCTCTGCAAGAGTTTGTCGCTGAAAAACCTCCAGATTCAAAGACTGAAATTTTAAAAATGAGCCGCCAATATCGCTCAATTATTAGAGCTTGTCTGTTAAACTTACAAGACGACATTGCCAAAACCAACATTACACCAAAAGAAAAACAAGAATTAAAAGATTACATTACCATATTTTATTCAATTGAATGTATTTGGCATTTGTGTGAAATACTGTTCATTGATGTTATACCAGGAAATATAGTTTTGCCTCCTTTACTTGACTGGGTCCGTTTCCACTTTCCCAAACCAGAAAGAAACGCAGCTACACTTTTATCAGGAGACACTGACAACTTGGATTTAGAAGAAAATTATTGGCCTACAGTTTTTGGAAATTTCCTACAAGGAAGAATGAATGTTGTTAGGGCTTTGCTTCAACAACACTCTGCAGCTCAAACTGCTGTATTTCAATTGGCATTAAATGTTTTGAAAAACATGCCAATTCTTAATGTATGTTGTAATTTGATTGTGTATTTTTGTTGAAATGCAATAATTATTTTGTAGATTGTTCCAGTGAGCGAATTTAGTTTGAGATGGAGACACTGGACAGCAGAGATTCAAATTAAACTTGATGCCAAGCAATTTATGAGTAATCGCAATTTGGATTTAATAATGAGAGTAAGCAAAATTTGAATTTTTTTTTTTCAAATTTTTAATATAAAATACCCAAATCTTGTGCTATGAGAATTTAGGTTTTTTCAGAAATTTTTTTTTTTTTGTTTATTATTCTTGGTTTTACAGATAAGTAGGTAATTTTTTCAAATAAAAATACTGCATTATTTTTAATGAAACATCCTGTATATTTTGTCATCATCAGAAAGCCTGATTTTTCCCTCTGATTAGGTACTTGAAGTATTTTCAGAAATTTCAAAAGGTGATTTTCAAGTGGCAAACCACATGGGAATTCTTTACCAAAAATGTGGGGAATTTAGAGGAATTTGAAAAAACTCACTGAAAGGACCCCGAACCCGAACACTTCTTATGGGATTTCTGACCGCGGTCAAATTTAACCAAATTTTAGTACCTATGTTATAGATCTCACCTTTCTGATCAATAACTACCATGGGCACAACTTAATCCTATGACTAGTTTTTGAGATACAGGTAGTTTAATGTCCAAGAAATGCACACATTTTATATGCATTTATTTACGACTTATGTATAATGTGCGTATTATATTTGTGATTTTGGCAGTATAATGACATATGTTATTCCTCCAGGGATTAATGACGAGTAGTGGGATTAATGGTCATTATTCCACAAAAGTGTCAGTGTCAAACGTGTAGTGCTTGTGGATTTGTATTGAAAATTATGAGACGGATGAAATTTCTTCATCGAAAATCTCAAATAAATTAATTTGTCGTAAATAAAGTAGAGTATACTACTCGCAATAATGGCTATTATTCCCTCGGAATGTTACTCCCTCGCCGCTAACGCGGCTCAGTTCGTAATAATCCTCGGGAATAATAGCTATCATTATTGACTCGTGGTATAATCTACTATTATACATCTACCTGTCACCTGTGCATGAGGATACCTGTCCATCCTGGTATTATTAGGTGGCAGGTAGATGTAAATGCATATAAAATGTGTGCATTTCTTGAACATTGAGCTACCTGTATCTCAAAAACTGGTCATAGGATTACGTTGTGCCCATGGTAGCTATTGATCAGAAAGGTGAGATCTATAACATACTAAAATTTGATTAAATTTGACCGCGGTCAGAAATCCCATAAGAAGTGTGCGGGGTCCTTTATGAGAATTTGGGGAATTTTTTTGGAAAAATTTATGGGGAATTTGGAGGAATTTGTGAGGAATTGAAAGGAAATTGTAGAGTCATGACGTCACTAAGGTTCACATTCTTATTATAAGAAACCCTAATAAATAGAAATTTAAAAAAAAAATAGTTTTGTGTTGAATGTTGGACATTCATTTTCAATAAAGAAATTTTCCCAAAACTTCACTTTGTGATTTACCTACAGGTCCAAATTTAAAAAATTCAAAACAATAATAAAAACAGTTTCTGTAGGCTAATGTCCAAAGATTCTTCATGTTGTTACTTTCCACTGGAAAAATTTAAAATTTTTGTAAAATGAGTTTCTTACCTTCCTCTTCAGATGTAAAAAGTTTCAAATTTTTCCGTTCACTAGTTTTCCAGGAAAACTTTGAAATGTGTGAGAAGATATTTTCAACTAATTCAGTTTTTGTAAGTTGATTTCCAAGATTCTTCATGTTATTTTCCGCTGGAAAAATTTGAAATTTTGGGAAAATGAGCTTCTCACCTTCCTCTTTAGAAGCAAAGAGTTTTAAAATTTTCCCTCTACTAGTTTTCCAGGAAAACTTTGAAATGTGTGAAACTGTATTTTCAATTAATTCAGTTATTGGAGGTTGATTTCCAAATTTCCAAGATTCTCCAGGTTGTTATTTTCCACTCGAAAAATTTTAAATTTTGGGAAAATGAGCTTCTCCCCTTCCTCTTTTCATGCAAAAAGTTTTAAAATTTTCCTTCCACTAGTTTTTTACGAAAACTTTGAATTGTGTGAGACAGTATTTTTAATTAATTCACTTAGGTATTGTAGGTTCATTTCCAAGATTCTTTATGTTGTTATTTTCCACTGAAAAATTTTAAATTTTGGGAAAATGAGCTTCCCACCTTCCTCTTTACTGCAAAAAGTTTCAAAATTTTCCCCCATTAGTTTTTCAGGAAAACTTTGAAATGTGTGAGACTGTATTTTCAATTAATTCAGTATTTGTAGGTTGATTTTTAAGATTCTTTGTGCTACTGTTTTCCACTGGAAAAATTTGAAATTTAGGGAAAATGAGCTTCTCATCTTCCTCTTTACATGCAGAAAGCTTCAAAATTTTCCCTTTACTAGTTTTCCAGGAGAACTTTAAATTGTGTGAAACAGTATTTTTTATCAATTCAGTTATTGTTGATTAATTTCTAAGATTCTTCATGTTGTTATTTTCCACTGGAAAAATTTGAAATGTTGGGTAAATGAGCTTCTCACCTTCCTCTTTACATGCAAAAAGTTTCAAAATGTTCCCTTCATTCACTAGTTTTCCAGGAAAACTTTTAAATGTGTGAGACTGTATTTTCAATCGATTCAGTTATTGTAGGTTGATTTCCAAGATTCTTCATGTTATTTTCTACTGGAAAAAATTGAATAATTTTTGAACAATTTGCTAATTGAAAAACATAATAAAAGTGACTGTTCGACAAAAATATCCTACTCAATAAATCGATGATAAAATATACAGGGTGTTTCATTGGAAATAAGGCAGTAATTTTACTTCAAAAAATCGCATGTCTGTAAAATCAAATTTTGGGATTTGACAATACCTCGGACAATAATGTGAAAAAAAAAAATTTTTCTTCTCTCAAAACAATCTGCATCTCATTATGTATTCTACAGTTTTCTAGAAAAATATGCCAACAAACCCTGTATTTTCCCATTTGTCTCCATATATTCTTAAAAATTAACCCTTTTCAAAATGTATTAAAAAATCTATGAAATACCAAATTTCTTAGCTCATTGTTGGAGAAGAATCAGCTTGGGCAGAAATGCATCCCCATTGCGAAACCTGGTACGATTTCCTAGCAGGCTGGCTATTCTACACCGAACCAACAGTAAAAACGTTCGAATTGGGAAGATTTGCCGATCAAAGTATAGACAGGATGAGAGTGAAGCACCACCTGAAACATTTGGACCGCGTTTTACTTGCCTTTATGAAATTTGATCTGTTTGAGGTGATTAAGGAAATTCAAGAAATCACCGATAATGGTTGGCTTGTTAGTCATTTGACTGATATTTTATTTCATTCAGGTCGTTTGGCCATGTTGGAAAATGAAGTTCAAAATTTGTAAGTCATTATTATCATCCTCGTTATCATCATACTCAATAATTAAACTTTATTGGTTTAGTTCTTCAGAAGATCTACGAGAATCATTTATCTTGGACTATGGTACAACTCTCATGGGTCACAAAAGTCTCTGGCAAGTAGGTTTGAGTTATTTGGACCACTGTCACAAAGATGGTTTGCCAGCTATTAAACTATTATTGCCCAGAGTTGCTTTTGATTCAGAAGCTAAAGCCACAAATATTATAAGTGAAGCTAAAAATAGGGGTCTCAATAAAGTGGCTCAAAGTATATCCAAAATTCTAGCTATGAGATCGCTGAGCCAAGGCAGACTTGGCAACGCCTTAACTTGGGCATCAAAATCGCAAGATCGACTTTTCATTTCTCGTATAGCTGACAAGTTTTTGCAAGAATATGTCGATACTGGAGAGTGGCGTTGCATCGATATGTTGGATGATTTTGGGTCTTCTATGCTGGCCAGTGAAAGACTGATATTTTTGGGAAAATTCATTGAACTTCACAAATTGTACCAAGCAAAAGAATACAAAGAGTGTGGAGAACTGTATATGTCTTTATTGAATTCAAAATTAGTTCCCCAATAGTAAGAAATTTGTTTGTAGATTTTTGATATTTTTATACAGGTTTTTTGTTTTTAGTTTTTGGTCAGTTCTATTTGATGAAGCATTGACCCTAGCAGAAAATGAGCAATTGGTGTTTTCTTCCGATCAAACAGAACAAATTATTTATCGTTTGGAGGAAAAGCAAAATATCCCAGAGTTAGTGAGCAGTAAAGTGTACTTATTGAGGCTTGCTTTAGCTAGGAACTTGAAGAGAGCTTTGATGTATGAAGCTCAATTGTACTAAGTGTGTGTGTTTGTCTTAGCTATAGGTTTACTGTATTTTAATTAAAAATAATGATTTTTATTTCAACTTTGTTTGGAGCATTTGTGGAAATTTTTTCTATGAAAATTTATACCTACTTTTTTCTCTTATTTTTCTTCTCTTCAATATTTCTTTTAATTTGTTGGTTTCATTGTTTCCTTATTCTAGGCTCTTGAAAAAAATATTGTTTTCTTTCAAATAAGTTAAAGTTTGTGTACTGTATAATGTTTTTTCATTTTTTATTACATTTCTTGTTTCGTAATAACGTTTTCTCATTTTTTTTTTTATTTTCTATTGCTGTGAATCCTGTGTCTCTGGTTATTTAATTTTAAGAAGCACTTTTTTTCACTACTAACCTGAGAAGTAGTCATTGTTCCATCAATTTCTCTGGGAAAAAATTGAATTTCTCTCCCTAGGTTAATAATGAAAATAATGAAAAAATACCTTAGGTCAATAATGAAAATGACGTCATGACGCAAGGATATTGTCAGGTTTTAATTGGTTCAATTTCAATTCCGTACGTCAAATAAAAAAAAAAACAGGTTTCTGTAGGTACATAGGAAGTTATCATAAGCTGTTGATAGAGAGCACCATTTTCGAAGGGCATTCATAAAAAATAATTAGAGCAAAGATTACAAATTATTAATTTTCCACTAGCAGTAGTAAAAAAAATATATTCCTCTGTAGAGAAAGCCATTATATACCTCACGCATTATTAACCTCAACTATTTTAGGGGAGCCCTAACGATAAGTATTCCCTAAAATGACATTTTTTACATGGAGAAATGTCAGTTTAAGGCAAACCTAATTGTTAGGGCTTCCCTAAAATAGTTGGTGGAAATGGTCATTAGAAAAATTAAGAAGAAAACGAAAATTCGAGATCCGGGAATAGACAAAATATGAGATGGAAAAATTGAAAAATAAAGAATAAATAAATAATATACTTATATAATAATAATATTAATAATAATACCTGAGTAAACATCAAAAAATTTGCAAAAATATGGCAGCGGGGGCGTGGCTAACTTCTATATTCATATTCAAAATTTGCAAGAATATCGCGGCGGTACCGAATTTCTACAGTGCCTTAATAAACCTTTACATACAGTGGCGACAATAGAGGCCCCGCCGCCATTGTGTTCCCAACCTCTTATTACTCTTAAATATTAATATATAGGATTTAAATAGACATCTATCATAAAAAATTGAAATCGACGTATTTGATGACTATTATTAGGACCATCAAATACGTTGTTTTCCATGGTTTATGATGGATGCTTACCCAAAATCCCATATATTCATATTTGAAATAAGCAATAGGTGGGAACAAGATGGCCGCGTTTCCCATATAAATATATGGGATTTTAGAACCAATCAAAAATAAGACAGCAATTGTCGCCACTGTGGATAATAAGAGTCACTGTACGAATTTCTATTTCAAAAGGTTAAGTCACTGTAGGTGGGCCGAGGCCATTGGAAAGGGTTGATAAGGAAACAACCAATCAAATACCTTGACGATACATAAACCCCGGAAAAGGGCGGGGCTCAACTAACCAATTAAATGCCCTGCTGATATCACTCGCATCTAATTGAGAAGGGGCGTGGCTTATATCCAACCTATCAAATGCTTTGTTGATATCCTTGCGTTTGATAACGAGTCAGCCACAGCGTTGCCAGCTTGACGGAATTTTCCTCTTTTTGCCTTTTTGAGGAAATTTTCTATTTTCGTTCGAAAAGGGTAGAAGCGGAATTTTTAATAGCTATTTTCCTAACGAGTGCGGGAAATTTCTTCTTGCAACAGTTAGGCACTATATTTTTTCTACGAGCATACTAATGCTAATGTTTCGAGAAGTTTAATTTAAAAAATGCGATTGTTCAGAAGGTAGAATTAAAAATGTATTATATTGAAAGGTATTTATAAAAAAAAATCTCTATCCGCACTGGTGCGGGAAAAAAGTCTTTTCGCGCAGCAAATCGTGCGGGAAGAGCCATTTCCCGCACGCTCGTAGAAAATAGTTATTTATGATATAAGTGTTAAAAGTACATTTTTAAGGCACGCATGTGAAAGTTTGCAGAATGAGCGAAGCGAATTCTGCAATTCACATAAGTGCCTTAAAAATACTTTTAACACAAATATCATACAATATTTTTTCTACAAACGGCAATAACAAGCAATAACCAGTGACAAATTGGATTTTTAAATGAATAATAAATTGGAAGCATCTTTCCTACGTAAAATTATTGAATTTGATATTTGTCAAAAAATTCAAACAATCAGCACCTTGTTTTACAGGTAATGAAATGTCTTGTCAGTTTCTTGAAAGTCTGTCGTGGTCAGTAAGCTTTTTGCTAAAAATGCAACAAATACACAAGAAAAAGAGGGTTGCATCAATTTCTTGAAAAATATAGAGGAGGCGGCCGATGGAGCTTCCTCAGTTGTACAAATTTTACCATTAATATTAATGTAAATAATTAAAAATACAAAATTTTTTTGACGTTTGCTTTCAAATTTTGATGTTTCATTTTTAACACTAGTGCCTTAAAGACTTTTAACACTAGTGCAATAAAGTAACATTTTTAATGCTTCGAGGGGGTGTTAAAAATTGCATTTTTAACACGTTTGTAGAAAAAGTCTTTTTTTTTAAAGATAAAAGTCAAAATGATATTATGTTGGCAAAATAATGTAAAATTGTGGATGTTTTCAATTTTTTTATGTAGAAAAGACTTGTGCTGCCAACATAATTAAGTACTAAATTTTTGACTTGGGAAATTATCTTTAAAAAAAAAAAACTTTACTTTTTCTTTTATTTAGTCGCAAAATTTTCATATTCAATGAAAAATTGGTGATTTTAAGTTTTTAGCACACGATATACTATAGGTATTAGGGTGATCCATTATAAATGTCACCCCCTGCTAACTTTTTCATTTGACGTTTTTGATAGAAGTGTCAAATACAAAAGTTTTAAGAAATTGTCAAAAGTTTTTAACTAAGTCATTTTTAGGCATACAGGGTGCGTCAAAAAAGTGCAGCAGTATGAAGTTATATTTTTTTAAATGGAACACCCTATTTATTGTATGCTTATTTGTTAGTTCCTTTCAACCTAATTTCAACCATATACGGTTGGATATATTTATCTCTCGGTTTATCTCCAATAGTAATAGGGAAAAACGCGAAAATCCCTTTCTAGGTCTCTCATGTTATTTTTTTTTTAAATAATATTGTCACAATAAGCTAAACGTCCGCCAGGCTGTCAAGAATCTCTCGGTATTATCTCTTGAGTATACTAGAATCTAGTGAATTATTCTACTTAATTCGGGAAAATAATATTATCGTGTATTCTAGATTTTACAGGAATAGATTTAGGGATATATAAGAAGGCCGGCATTGGTTTGTAGTTAGTTTCAGTTCGAGTGTGATACGATTTAAATAGTGATTGTAAAGAGTTGAATTGTTGAGTTTGTTATTAAAGTAATTAGTGTCAGAGTGTTTTGTTAAGTGGAATAAATTATTGCTGTGTTAATTGGACTTTGATTTTTGGAATAAACGAAACGAACAACGAACCCAAGAATTTTGTCAGCAGGCAACCCAAAGCCGCGACATTGGTGCCAAGAAGTGGGATATAAGGACTGCAGAGTGAACTCCAATTGCGGAAGTGTGGGGACACTAGTGTAGTGTAAAAACTAAACACTAAGTGAACACTGGGACAGTTAGTGCAGTGCAAACAGTGACAATCACAAAAAGAGACTCAACCGATCGTGTGAATTACCCCGGAAGTGACTCTATCCCCGATTTAGACTGTGATAGTGAATCTTCGAGTGAGTTCTAGAAAATTCTATTTGGAAACTAAGGGAGATATCGAATTTGTGACTTCGCCGACGCATTCGGAACATCAATCGTCATTCAGAAGAAGTTTTTCGAGGAGTTTCGGGAAAATTCTAGAACATTCTATTTGGAAACCAAGGGAGATATCGAAATTGTGACTTCACCAACGTGTTTGCTGTATGAATCGACATCTAGAAAAGAAGTTTCAAGAAAATTCCAGAACATTCTATTCTAGAATAAGGCAAGTTATCCAATTTGTGACTTCACCGGCGTGTTTGGAACTTCGAGCAAAGACCAGAAAAGATATTTGAAGAAAGTTCGAGGGAAATTCTAGAACATTCTGTATATGCCTATCACAAGACAACAAGCCAAAATGGACGAACAAAAAGTTGAAGAACTCCTGCGCAAAATGTTGGAACTTCAAGAGACCAAACGACAACAAGAAAAACAAGACGAAGAAGCTAGAAGCTAGACAACAAGAAAAACAGGACGAAGAAGCTAGACGACTACAAGAAAAACAAGACGAAGAAGCCAGACGACTACAAGAAAAACAAGACGAAGAAGCTAGACGACAACAAGAAGAAGCTAGAAGACAACAAGAAAAACAAGACGAAGAAGCCAGACGACAACAAGAAAAACAAGACGAAGAAGCTAGACGACAACAAGAAGAGGCCAGACGACAAAAAGAAAAACAAGAAGAAGAAGCTAGGCGACAACAAGAACGGCAAGAAGACCTTGGAAAACTACAGAAGATATTCCAAACCATACAAGGAAACTGTCGCTAACCTAGACCAGAAGATTGAAAAAGTTAAAGACGATGTGCAAGAAGTTAAATACGACGTTCAGGAAGTAAAAACTGAAGTCAAAATCGATGTTCAAGAAGTTAAAAATGACGTTCAGGGAGTTAAAGCTGAGGTCAAAGCCGATGTTCAGCAATTAAGACAAGAAGTTGAGGACCAAGTTCAAGCACTCGAAGATAAGATGCGTAGATTAGAAATACAGTCCATCAATCCAGCTAGTGTTGGAGCATTCTCCAGTATGAAGATAAAACCACCAACTTTCGACGGTTCTACGTCCTGGACCATGTATATTCGACAATTTGAAGCTGCTGCAAATACCAACGGATGGAACGACCAAGAAAAAGCTACAGCACTAATAG